GCTCGGGCGCTCCGGCCCGGATCCTGCCGTGCCCCGGCGCTGGGGCGGCCCTGCACCCCAGGGCCTGGTGCCCACCCCGGGAGCGGGACCGTGCGGCTTTAGGTCGTTTCTGTTCATCCTCGCTCGTGTCCGGCAGCTGTAGCGTCTGTCGGGAGAGGACTTGAATTTTGGGGGTCTGCTGCACTTGAGTGACATAGCGAGCAAAGGGGGATTTCCCGCAGGTGTTTTTTGCCTGAATGCTAAATCTCTAGGTGAGTCGTTGCGTTGTGACCTTCCATAATAAATCAGTGTTCAGACCTGCTCTCCTTTGCGTGTTGCACATGAACCTGCTTTTCCCATACCTGGTGCAGCTGTGAGCCAGGAGCACCTGCTTTCTGCTTCTGCCTTGTCATTACTTTGCTTAATATTTATTTCTTCAGTACCTCAAGTATAAAATGTCTCCGTGCACAACTGCAGATACTTCTTGTTCTTGGTAGGTTATGCAAGACCAGACCTGGTAGTTGTTTTGCAGATGAACAGAGCAAAGATTTATTTATGCAGTTGCTCTGAAGAATGTCAGCCTGCATGGATCCGAAACTCATGACAGCTGGCTCTAGCTTTCGTACTAAAACACAAAGTTGTTTTAAGAAAAAAAAACAACCAACGAACAGCTAGAAATGTGTTCCTGTAGAAGGCAGAGAGGTTGGGTTTGGCAGCAGTTGAAGCGACTGAAAGTAGGTTGCAGTTACAGAGGAATTGTTCTGACATGTTCGTGCACTGTTCTCCCTCAGTGGAGCTTGAGAAAGACAGGCTGAAGGACTTGTTTTAGGGTAACTTCTTTTCCCATCATACACGGTACATTTTGACAAGCACAGTTCAGCTCTCTGGCACTGCTTTTATGAAATTTCTGGTTTCCTGAGCAGAATTAGAGCTGTGTGTGCCAGGCAGAGTTGTGGGAAGGCAGAAGTTGAATATTTCCTTCTGAACAGTCGTGAACCTTTTTCTGGTGTGTGTGGTCAGGGCTGAGAGGCAAAATTGAGGTTTTCCTTGCATTGTTCGGAAAGGGAAGCCTTGTGTAGGCAGATCAGCACCCCAGAACTGGAAAGTCTAAAGGCATGGTTTCAATTTTGAGGAGAGGGGTGGTCCCATGAAATGCACTGAAATAATCCACCTCCAGAAGTCTTCTTAACAAAGTGTGCTTCAAAACCAATTCCCAGTTGGTTAAACTGGTGAAGATACAGGGTCTGAAATAAATTTTAAAATAGTATTTTGTTCATTAGATTTTCTGGGGAACATCTGGGAGAGAGATAAGAAATCAAGGATGGTGACATAGCAAATGTAGCATTGGTATTTATTTTTTTTTTAATTGGACCAGCTGATGCATTTGGAGAAAGGGGTCTGTTTTGGTGAAGGAACTCAGAGCCTGAAATGTCCCAGTTTTATTTGTTAGTCAAAGCTACTGTGCTCTTGTCATTTGTCTTTTAAATCAACATGTGTTACATGGTGCTGTATTACTTCTCTGTGAAGCTGTATGAAATTGCTCTGTTGTTTGTTAAGCTTCTCTTGACGGGTTATGAGATCCAGGTCAGCACCCCTGCGGTGTCTTCTACCATGCACATATGATTTCTTCTCCCTTTGCTCCTCCCATCAGTTTATTCAGTTCTAAAGAGTGCTGGGAAAATGTAAAATTATCCTTGAGGTTTATCTTCTGCCAAGACAAGGTGCTAGGCAAGCTTTTCCACTCCCAAGATAAGTGTTACTGATATGGCCTACTCGTTTATAATTATTTTTTTCTTTTCTCCCTTCTGTCAGTGATTCAGACCACGTAACACTGAGAATGTTTCAAATGTCCTCAAAATGTGAAAAAAACCCAGAGTATAGCAACCATGCTGCTGCTGGGGTCCTTAACATCAAGTTCATCAGATTTTTCCACTTCTTTGTTGCAATGATGTGAGCTCTTCACATCTGCTTCATTTCCAGCCAACTGTAATATTTTGGATCCTTCTCTGTGCTATTAATATCACTTATCTTCTCTTCTATTTTTTTAACAGCCATGAGCAAGGTTATTTAAACCATGAAGAAGCACAAACTCTGTTCATTTTTTCTTACTGGCTGCATGTTACTGAGACGTGTTTAAGATCTTTTACATATCCATGGACCACCATGAAAGTGTTTATTGTGTTCATAAGCTATGAAATCATCTCTTCTTGTGGTGCTTGGATGTATGAGCTGGGTGGAACAGTGTGTCGTTATGCTTTCTACAGACTTCAAGTTATGTGGCTCATACTGTTAAAAATCTACCCATGAAATGGTAAATTCCTCAGAGACTGAAGCCTGCTTATCAGTGTTACAGTTCACTTAAGTCTATTTCCCTCTTGGCCAGCTTCATTTAGAACCAATCACAATTTTAATGTTTGATGAAGTAGTGTAACAAGGAAATGTTAGGTTCAGATCAGCACAGTGGGGTGCATGGAGCTCACAGACAGCACAGGCTAAGTACCAGTGTCTTAGGCTGCACCACCTTTCACTTTTCATCAGGGTGTCATGCAAATGAGCTAATTAGATTTGTATCTTTGCAGCTGAAGCTGTGCCTGTGTGCCAGTGCCTCCCAGCATTTCTGAAGGCACATTCCATGATATGGACCATTAGCTTTATTTGTTTCACTCTCCTCCCCATGGCTTTGTGCCTTCCCTGTAGTACCACAATGCAGCCACTCAGCAGTGGGGACAGACTGTGCCAGCTTTTGGGGCTCAGGGTTTATATTTGTTTCAGTCTCTGAACCTTAAAGATATGGAACTCTAATATGCAAAACATGCCCAGATATCTTCTTACAGTCATGAGAGCAAATCTGACATGTACTGAAAGGAGCCATCCTTTTTTGTCCTAGGAGACCCTCCTCACATGAGTGTTGGTGAAAATGGGGGATACAAGGGACATGTGTCCTCACCTGGATTCCATAGGAGAGGTGACCAGGGACGATCTGCTGCTCAAATCCAAGGTACACGGTTGTGGCTCGCAGTCCTTTCCCTTTTAGCTGTTGTGCATGATTTTGCATGTTTGCTTTTGAAGAAAACACTGCCTGTCTCCAGAGAGAAACTCTCCTTCCCCCACTGATGTACCCACATAAAATCACCCTTTGTGACCCCACAAATTTATCATAGTCATTTTATCCTGCTTGAATGTGCCATTTAGCTAAAGTGGTTCAGTTGTGTGTTTGATTGGAATTGTGGTGTTTAGAAATGAAATACTATGAGCTGAATGTTGGGCTGTTACATAAAGAAATTTCTCACTCTTCAAGGATTTGGTTACTTTAAAACCAACCAACCAAACAAACCTTCTTTTCTCATGAATATGCAGGGGACTTGCCAGTCTTGTGGAGCTGTGGGACCAAACCTCTGGGCTTGTCTTCAGGTAAAAATGGCTTGTTTGTGTGCATGATGTGGTGGTTTCACTCGAGTAGCATTTATACTGAAAAAAGGGTGGGGAACAAAGGGGTTCACAGTAGAACTACACTGTGTTTTTTGATGGATTCCAAGGAGGAGACTCTCTAGGTGAAAGGGTAACACTGTCACAATCTGACAAGATGTAACAGTTCACTCCCTGTAGGGGATTGTCCTTGCTATTCCCAGTAGGAATGGATAAATTCCCTAGTGTTGGTTGTTGGCTGGGTGTTGCCTCTGCTGGCACCTGTGGAGGAGCTGCAGGGTGGCACCTTGGAAGTGAGGAGGGAGGGAATGCCATGGGACATGCAGGCAGGAAGGGACTGTTTATTTTTACACTGGAATGCCCAGGCTTGAGGCTGCTCAGGTGAGATCCCTGTTGGAGCAATGGCCTTGGAACAGAGACTTTTCCTCAGTGCAAACTTGGTTCCAGGTTTTCTTTCTTAAATCACTTCTAAATTTCCCTCAGTTCTAAATTTCCATCTTGTTCTGGGCCCTGAATAAAAAACAGGTTAGAAAACTGGCAAGATAATCCTAAAGTTGCTGCTGCTGTTGTCACTGTTCTCTAAAGATTCTAATTCCATGTTAAAGCCCATTGTGCTTTGGCTCTTTCCCCTCTAGATTGGTTGTCCTTACGTTGGTTGTGGGGAGTCCTTTGCTGACCACAGCACACTTCATGCACAGGTGAGTTTTTCTCAGTTCCCTACATTTAAACAGACAGAATTGAATTTTCCCATGTTCTGGTAGTCCTGTGCTGCAGCTCAAGCCAGCTGCCAGAGGAGATCTGTTGTTTCATTTTTAATTTCTAGGCCAAGAAGCACAACCTGACAGTGAACCTGACCACGTTCCGTGTGTGGTGCTATGCCTGTGAGAAGGAGGTGTTCCTGGAGCAGCGCCTGGCAGCTCAGCCACCCTCACCCCCCATCAAGTTCCCTGAGCCGGTGGGTCTGTGTCACACAGGGCAGGCCTCAGTGCTTGGCAAGGCTTTGTTCACCTGGTGTAAAATTAGCCAAGTGATTTCTGCCGTGGTACAGCGTTTGCTGTGATGGGGATACCTTCACTGAGAGTGGCTGCCTGTAGCCAGAGGACTAATAGCCCTGACTTAGAGTGTCCAAGCAAAAAGATGAATGACTTAGGGGTGTGAACTAGATGATCTTTGCGGTCTCTTCCAACCCAAACCATTATATGATGCTATGATTCTGTGACTTGAATATCCATTCTGACTTTATTTTTAACCTTTGCAGTGGGTTATCTGCATGTGAGAAGTACCTGTCTGTCACATTTTCATTTCCAATGCATGGCCCATGGAAATTTCAGCTGTCAGACCAGAAACACTGTGTACTTGTGACACTGCTGCTCACTCATGATGTCTCTTATCATGTGTGCTGGAGGCAGTAATGACACTGTTTCCACTCCCTGCTGCCTCAGTGAGAAGGATGGACAGTACAACCTGTTCTTCCTTCTCCTTCTACTTTTCTTGAAGGCTGGCTTGATTTATGTAAGATAATATCTTTCAAAGCTGGCCTGTGACTGGTACTTATTTCTCTGTCTCTAATCTAGGATTCTCCTTTGCCTGCTCATCCTCTGAAAGCTGTTCCAATTGCTGTGGCTGATGAAGGTGAATCTGAATCAGAGGATGATGATTTGAAACCAAGAGGTAACTTTGCACTGAGTTGATGAAAGCACTGGCAGGGCAGCTCTGCAGTCTGTAGGACTTGCACTGAGAGGGTTCCTGGCAGCAGGATGTGGAGACTGCCTAGAAAGGGCTGGATTCCCTCTCCCTGGGGAGGAATATAGAAAGCACCACATCTGTAAAATGATTCATCCCTCTCTTGTTTGTGCTTTAGGCCTTACTGGAATGAAAAATCTTGGGAACTCCTGCTATATGAATGCAGCACTTCAGGCTCTGTCAAACTGGTAGGCATTAGGGCTTTCAGTGTTGTCTTAACTGGCTTCACTAAATACCAAAAATGTCATCTCTGATCGGAAACCTTCATGAGTCTTGCAAAGAGAGATTAGCCAGGCTGGGGACAGAAAAAAATAGTGGTTTTTTAGGGCAACAGAGGTGTTACAGTAGGAAATTGAGGGACAATCCAGCTCGTAGCTATGGACAAGACTCATGTTTAGATGAATGTTTGAAGTAAAACTTCATCATTTCTGATGTAACAGATATTATTTATCCCAGTAATGGCACATCACGTCTCTATTCTCCTCACTGATATCATTCTAATAACCTATATCCTAAAATATTCTCTAGCCATCCTGATAAAAATTAATTCCAGGACTTTTTCTGTACTGAGAACAGGTTCAGATCAGCCTTTTTCATTTGATCCAAGTGAGGAGTCACATCTGTATCTAGAATCACTTCTTCCTTTGGTTTAAAATTAGTACCTCAAGCATGCTTTTGATTAAGGCCTGCATGAAGTTTTTATCAAAATAAATAGAAACAGAGGAGAAATTTCTGTGGGCTGAATTCTTCTCTTCTTCCTTCTGTTGTAGCCCACCTCTCACACAGTTTTTCCTGGAATGTGGTGGACTGGTCCGTACGGATAAGAAACCTGCTCTGTGCAAAAGTTACCAGAAATTGGTGTCTGAGGTTTGGCACAAGAAACGGTGCGTGGTGACCCCTGATCTAACCTGGCCAGGTTCAGAGGTGTGTTAGTTCTGAGGTCTGGCACCAGCAGAGAGGAAATCTGATCCTCAGGGACAAGTGCATTGTCTGAGGCTGTGATTTCCCCCTCTGTGTGGATGGGGATGTGAGGATTCCCTGAGACCCAGGAAGTCCCATGTCCTGCTGGTGATGAAATGGGCACATTGATGTCTGTGAAAAGAAATTCTTTCTAATTTACAGTTTTAAAAAGGAAGAGTTTTTTAAAAATATAGTTCCCCTGTTGGCAGTGAAGAAAAAATTATGGAGTAAGGGAATACCTGGGGCTCTCTCCAGGTATTTTACATGGACTTCAGTGACCAACACTTAAATTGCACTGCTCTTGATTAGCAGGGCAATTGATGATTTGGATAGAAAAAGTGATTCAGAGATTTTGTGGAAAATGCAGGTGATATTTTGGGAAATGTTTGCTATTGGTGCAAATTCTAGACCAGTTCAAAGAAGAGTGCAAAATTATATAGCTCTGTGTAAATCTAAAGATGTCTTCTCTGTGCAATAAATTAAACCTCATCAAAACAGGAATTTAAATGGCATTGCATGTTTGCCTCAAGTTCATTATTAACAAGGAATAAGTAAGATATGGAGCAATGTGTCTTTGTGGAGGAGGAGGCTGGCTTTGAAGAAATATCATGTCATTTTAACATTGATTAGATTTACCTCATTTACTGGGTGGTCAGCCTGGCCAGATTTTGAGACAGACAAGGTGCTGGAAAATCAAACAAAGTAACTAATTGCTAAACTCTGCTCTGGAAAGAATTTTCCACTTTCCACACTGTCTCTTGGTGTGTTTGTCACCCAGCTCATGCAGAAATCTCTGCCCAGGCTTTGCAGGTGCATAATTATCTTTTGTCCTCTTTAACTGCACATCACACCCTCTGTTATGGCCTGTTAGACAAACTGGCTCCAGGCCTGATAAGCAAACTGACTTTTTCTTTTTTCCATGTCTAAACAGCCCGAGTTATGTTGTTCCAAGCAGTCTATCCCATGGAATCAAGCTTGTCAATCCCATGTTTCGAGGCTATGCACAGCAGGTGAGGCCTGAAAAACCCATGCCATTATTTCAAAGGTGGTGGGAATTTAATTTGTGGTGGTTGTGCTTGTGTTCAGAAAACAGAGCTTGATCTTGGGGGTCATGGCCTTTCTGTGTCAATGTCAGTGATCTGATAGAGCATTTGGGTGGGATCTGGGAGACCTGGAGTCTTTTCCAAGCTTGCTTCTGGCTTATTGGTACCAAATCAGTTCATTTTCTCATGTCAGCTTGCTCACTTCTGAAATTATGGTGGTCAAATCCTTTATAAACAGCTTTGAGATCTATTGATATCTGCTGTATAGGACTTTGGTATTATTTATTCATGTCAGAGCTGAGGAACCTGGATAAATCTGCACTAAAAAGTCAAAGATATGAATGTTCTATATTCTTTTTTTGGGGAATTACAGCAAAACTAAGTCTTATTTAAAGGAAGTATCCTTTTCCTTTGAAGTCTTTATCAGCATGGCTCTTCTCTTTGTTCTTTATAACAAAATGTAAACAGTGAACTATGGTTAGAAAATTTACTAGAGAAGTGACAATGCATCAAAACTGTGATAGTGACAAGAAATCAAAACAAAGAATAAAAATAATGATTAATGAAAGAACTTCTATATTTGTCTTTGATGTGAAATACGTTGGATTGGAAAACTCTGATCTGAGGAGATAAATTTGAAAGGTAGGCAGGACAGGCTGAAAGCCAAACTTCATAAAACAACTGAAACGTAGTAATTAACTTCCTGCAGTTGTCAAAATACCAGGTTACTTTCCATCAGCTCCTTTGAAGCCAATGTATCAGCTTCTTTACCATGTATTATGAATGTAGTAGCTTGCACCTAGACTGTATAGCTTTGGGTTTCTGTTTCCTCTCCCTGTTTATTAAAGATTTTAATCTGCCCTCTCTAAGAGGTGGCTTGCCATGAACAGAAGTCGGTGTTCCTAAGATGTTTGTGGGTAGGAGTCTGTTCCCCAGGGCCTGCTGTTTTCATCTGGTTTCTCCTTGCTTTTTCCCTATTATCTGTGGCAAACCCCTGATAAATGCACTCATGGTTTGCCTTCTACAGCTGTTCTCTGGCTTTTCAAAGTCTTTCAGCTGAAGATATTCTGATAAAAAAAAATTAGGCCTTTAATTATGTAGGAGTTAAAGCATTTCTGTAACAGTCAGGCCCTTTGGTGCATGGCCCTGCTTTAGCTGGCTCTGTGTGTGCCACAGAGCAGGCTCACCTTTGTGGGCACTCTTGGAATCAGCTGTGAATGGAGCAATCTCCTCTTTTGTCCCTCTCATTTGCCCTATTCCTGGCTGGATACTGACATGGAATCTTGTTTTTCAGGACACCCAGGAGTTCCTGCGATGCCTGATGGATCAGCTCCATGAAGAATTGAAGGAACCCATTGTTGCAGAAACGAGGGATTTGGACACCAGTGACCAGGAGGACAAGCGGGAGGGTGACAGAAGCCCTTCAGAGGATGAGTTCCTCTCCTGTGACTCCAGCAGTGACAGGGGTGAAGGAGAGGGCCAGAGTCGGACCTCAGGGAGCATGGGCAGCAGCTCCCTGGCAGAGACAGAGCTGCTGATCCAGGATGAAGCAGGGAGAGGGATCTCAGAGAAAGAGAGGATGAAGGACAGAAAGTTCTCCTGCGGCCATCGGCGCAGCAACTCAGAGCAGGTGGATGAGGATGCAGATGTTGATACTACAATGATGTCAGTCGATGGCAGAGCCTCACCTGAGATGCTGCCAGCTCCCTGTCCTGCCAGCCCGTGTAGGACACCAGGTATACCCCTCTTCCAGTCGGGATATTTCCAGGAAGATACGTTACCATCCTCCACAGGCACTGTGGTGTAGTGCAGTGGCAAACACATAATGTGCCTGTTCCTTCTCTTTGTTTCAAAAGATTTTGCATCCAAGGTTTTCCTCAGTCCCTGCCTTTGTGCACAGTTGCTTCTGTAAGGAAGTGTACTTGGTGAGCCAGAGAGGTGCTTAGCCAGGCTGTGAGCTGAGTAAAGGCACAGCAGTGACAGCTGCCTCTGCCAGGCCTGCAAACACTGTATTGATGCTTTTTAAGAAAAAAGGTTTGGTATGTGTATGTCTCTATTTGATATGCTGGCCTGGGGAAATATTAACTGTGGAGAAGACATGGAAGAAGTATTTGCTAATGTTGGACTGTGGACTTTGGGGAGAGAAAAGGGAGAGGCACAGTTTGAGCATTTCTGTGTCTCAGAAAAAAGAAAAGAGCAGCAGTGTGGAGTCACCTCAAGCTGAACATACCCGATCTTTCAACGCTTCTTTATGTAAGAGTCTTACTCTGCCAGCTGGCACTGAAGGCAGCAATGCTGTCTGTGTGGATTAGGGCTACAGGAGCAAGCTGCAAAAACTAATTAGTCATAAGTGTGAAAAAATGGCAGGTTTTTTGGGGGGTTTTTTAGTATGTAATTATTAGCTGTTAGGTACAGCTCCGTATGCACTCTCACCCGCAACTGAGGGAGCTGTGTCTGTCAGCCTGTGCAAGCAGAACAGTTAATGGACACTGAACTTTGCCTTTGGGAAAGATTCTGTGCTGGAACACTGAGCTAGGCTGACACAGATTACAGTGGAGTTGCCTTTCATAACTGGGTTTTTCACCAGTGCCCTTTTCCCTCCCCATTTTCCCAAACAGAACCTGACAATGATGCCTATGTGCGCTGCTCCTCGCGCCCTTGCAGTCCAGTCCATCATGAAATGCACTCCAAGCTCTCCAGCAGTCCTCCCCGCTCCAGTCCTGCCAGGCTTGGACCTTCCTACATACTCAAGAAAGGTATTGCAAAAAGGGATTGCTGGGAGGCAAAGGGGGAAGTATGTAGAGGAGGAGAGAGAATGAATCCATCATGATTCTTGATTAACAGATATAAGAAGTGCTGGTTCCCCTGGATATCAGTGTGTTCCAAAATAGTATTTGGCAAAGACTACAGTAAACCTGCAGATAAAGTCAGGCTCTAGAACACAGTGATGTTCTAGTATTCTGATACTGGAGCCTGAAATGATCCATATTTGTGTCTGTGTGCTGTGTTTGTCATTAATTGAATGGCTCTGTCCCTTTTAGGGGAGTGTGGAGACACATAAACATGTATATCAAGTCTGCCAGATTTGAATTTCATGGCATGTGGGCCAGAGAACTGTAAGATGCTGTTCCTGACAGAGCTTCCTTGGACATCTTGGGCTCACAGGAATTAGGGCTGCAGATGTCCCTGCAGTGCTGGAAGCACTGTCAGGCTGCAGAATGGAGCCTGGCTTATGTTGTTATCAAACTGGTCCCTTCATCCCAGAGCAAATTGCAAATCAAAGTCCCTCAATGCTGCATAGTCTGCAAACACAATGGCTTGTGCTTGTACCACTGTCCCTCCAGCTGCTCCATGAGGACATTCTTTCTTCAGCCTCTTGGCTGAGGTCAGCACAGCCGCAGATGTTCTGGCTGCATGAAAACCACTCTGTTTGCCTGCACGTGTGTGTGGGGACAGGGTTTGTTGTTAAACAAAACCTTGCATTTGGCCAGTCCCTGCTGTGGAGAGTCCTCTCTAGTGCAAGACACTTGGGAAACACGTGGTAAATGTCAGAGGGGAAAAAAAAAAAAGGACAAAGTACAGAGGCAGGTTGGGGGGAGAGGAAGTGAAATGCAAAGCCTGGAGCAAAATGTCACAAGACTTCAGAAAACCAGGGACTGTCTGTGGCAGGGCTGGGCTTCTAAACATGTAAAAGGCTGGAAACAGGAGTTCCAGTAGAACAATTTCTGCCTCCTGGGAGCCACTAGTGTTGGTTCAGTTGGCTGCCTCTCCCTTGTACCAGGCACAGCAGCAGAGTCCTCCATGTCTCTTCACAGCTTGCCTCACCATGTCCCTGGAATGGGGTCTGAACATCAGGACAATGATTGTCCCACGTTCTTACATGTTTGTGTGACTCTGGACATGTGAGACTGAGAGGGCCATTCCTTGTTTTCCAGCCCAGATGCAGGCTTCTGGGAAAAAGAAGAAAGAGCTCCGTTACCGCAGTGTGATTTCTGACATCTTTGATGGCTCCATCCTCAGCCTGGTGCAGTGCCTCACCTGCGACAGAGTGAGTGTCCTGGGCCCTCCCAGTCACCCAGCACAGGCTTTGTGCTTGTAGATCTCTTCCCAGGGAATGGTGCTGCTCTGTCCAAACCCTGTGGGATGCAGTGCCTGCTAACATGGTGATAGGTGATGGCAGGGGAGGCGTGAGAATCTGCCATGCCAAGGAGATGTGTTTCTGTGTTTGCTGATCCGTGTTTCTGAGCTGACCCAGCAGTATCACATTCACATTAGAAAACTGAGTCCAGTGTTACAAAACTCATGACAGAAGTCAGTGCTGACAGCAGGGAAGAATAATTAGCCACAGGGCTAATTCCTGCTGCCAGCTCAGGTTTCTAGCCTAATGTTTCTAGCTTAAATGCAAGCAGTGATAAAAGGTGATGAAGGTCAGGTGCCAGCTCCATTACACACACAGAAACCCAGACCTCTTCCTCTTGCATATTTCCAGGTTTCTACAACAGTGGAGACGTTCCAGGACCTGTCACTCCCAATCCCAGGGAAAGAGGACTTGGCCAAGCTGCACTCTGCCATCTACCAAAACGTGCCAGCCAAGACAGGGGCATGTGGGGACAACTATGCCTCGCAAGGCTGGATTGCTTTCATCATGGAGTATATCCGGAGGTGTGTTCCCTCTGCAGGACCCCTGTTTTCTAGGATTTGCCCTGCAGTGCTGGAAGTGCTGCCCCTAACCAGTGGTGTTAACACTGGGATGTCAGTTGGAGCCATTCCTTGGAGGACAGTATGTGGTACCTCACAGGGCTTGGAGCCTTTTTGTGTGGACCAGTTGTTATTGCTCCTCTAAATCTCACACACCTTGAGAGCTCTTGTGCAGCCAATCATCCCTCACTGCTGCCTCAGAATTGCACTCCAGAGCAAATAATTCCTGGTGTAGTTTTCCAAATAATTTCCAGTTTGAGTAGGAACATCAGCTGAAAGCAGTTGTGCTTTCCCTGCTCCCCTGGGATGTGGGATGAGCTTAGGACCTACAGCTAGAAGGAAATTTATCATCCGCTTAGGGTTTTGTGTGCCAAAGGATTCAGATATTTTATTTATAACTTTTAACCCCTCTTCCTCTGCAGATTTGTGGTGTCCTGTATCCCTAGCTGGTTTTGGGGTCCTGTGGTGACACTGGAGGATTGCCTTGCTGCCTTTTTTGCAGCAGATGAGTTGAAGGGTGAGTTTTCTCAGCGGGATCTGACAGCATGGAGGAGCTGAGCCATATGCATTCTGAAGGCAGGTTAAATCTCCTAGAAATCCTGCCTTGGTGTGTCAGTAGAGACTGGCAGTGCCAAAAGCTGGCAGCTCAGCATCTCTGAGCAGGAGGGAACTTTTCTACCTGCTCAGGGATGGGAAATCTGGGTGAGAGTGTCCTCAGTGAGGAGCAGGCAGAGCTGTTGGTTGGTTGAGTGCTGTGGCTCCTCAGTTTCTTCACTTTCTCATCCTTCCTGGTAATTCACTGCATCCCTTTCTTACCTACACTTATTGAGAGGAATTGTTTTGATTTCTTCTCATCCTGGCCTGCCCAAAAGGCTCTTAATCTGCTTTCTCTGCACTGTCTGGAAATGTAGCCTTGTATGCTCTGAGCAGCTGCATAATGGCTCTCTTCTCTCTGCAGGGGACAACATGTACAGCTGTGAACGGTGTAAGAAGTAAGTTTGCTTTGTATTATGTTGCATGTCTGCAGTTTTATTTCTGGAATTTTATTTCTCTGTACTGCTGTCAGATATTTTCCTGTGTCCTCTGCCTGGACAGTTCTCTTGGAATTCAGGATTTGTCTTGGATTCCAAAGTGAGCAAGACCCAGCTATGCCTTTGCTGTAGAGAGTCCTCAGAGTTCGTTTCTTTTCCTCCCTCAGGCTGCGGAATGGAGTAAAGTACTGCAAAGTCCTCCGGCTCCCAGAGGTGGGTAAAAGCACCTTGTTCCCTAATTCTCTTCTAGCAGCCACTGAGGAGGTCAGGAGGCCAGAAGTAGAATAGAACCAGCCAGTTTTAGGTGGCAAAGTCCTGTATTTAGATCAGAAGAGATTTTCTCAGTCTAAGCTGATGAGTCAGCAGGATTCATGAGAAACAGGCAAAGAACTCCTGCAAAGATCAGACACACAGAGATGTGCTGTGCTCCGAGAGCTCCCATGGCAAAACTGCCCTTTGGTGTCCTCTGTCCTTGGTCTTTTAGATTCTTTGCATCCACTTGAAACGGTTCCGGCACGAGGTGATGTATTCCTTCAAGATCAACAGCCACGTCTCCTTCCCCTTGGAAGGGCTGGATCTGCGACCTTTCCTCGCCAAGGAGTGCGTGTCCCAGATCACCACCTACGACCTCCTGTCTGTCATCTGTCACCACGGCACGGCTGGCAGTAAGAACTTCTGTGGGAGAGGAGCAGGAGGGGAGGAGTGTGCTCAGGATAGCCAACAGCTCTGCTGGGCCAAAGGGTGGCATAAGACCCCCTCCATTCTCAGCCTGAGCAGCCTCTGCCCTTTGGAAAGTGAACTGAGCAGCTTCTGACAGATCCCCTGCAGCTCTTTCAGCCTCCCCACAGGCTTGGCTCAAACCCTTTCCCACTGTTTAGTCTTGCTGAGAGGCTCTTCCAAGGAAGGCAAATCAGGGTGACAGTGCCAGGCTCTGCTGCTCCAGCAAAGCTTGCCTGAACAGGAATTATCCTTTTTTTTTTATCTCTCTCTCTGTTCTGTGCCAGCAGCTAATCCTGTTTGTGCTGCTGACATTATCCCAGGCCTGCCTTCTGTCTGCACTGCAGATCCCAGCAGTGCTGTGCTTTCTGTTCCAGGTGGCCACTACATCGCCTACTGCCAGAATGTGATCAATGGCCAGTGGTACGAGTTTGATGACCAGTATGTCACCGAGGTCCACGAGACTGTGGTGCAGAATGCAGAAGCCTATGTGCTGTTCTACAGGTGAGCTGTGCCCTCAGCCCCTTTCTGGGTACAGAACACCTGGAAATGCATTTCTAAATGCAGTTCTCCTTTTCCTGCTCCAGGAAAAGCAGTGAGGAGGCTGTGCGAGAGCGTCAGAAGGTCGTGTCCCTGGCCAGCATGAAGGAGCACAGTTTACTCCAGTTCTACATCTCTCGAGAGTGGCTCAATAAATTCAACACCTTTGCTGAGCCTGGGCCCATCACCAACCACACCTTTCTGTGCTCCCATGGAGGTAAGGCTGCTGGACCTTGGAGCAGCACCTTTGATGCTTCCTGGTGCATTAACAAATGCAGAAAAAAGCTCCAGCTGCCATCCTGATACAGGGAAGCTGCAGTGGGATCCTCTTTGGCAGAAACTCCAGCCTGCTCAGGGAGGGATGAGACAATTACCCATTGTGCTGCTGGTTGGAGGCCCGGGGGGATGTTTAGTGCAGGGAAACAACAGTTTTCAGTTCTCTGTTTTTAAAAACAAACCTGTAGAAAGCAGATATGGCAGGGTTTATCTGTGTTACCCTGTCAGCAGGGGTGGCCCTCAGGGTTTGTTTGGAGAAGGGAACTGATACCACATCTGACTCTGCTGCTGTTTCTTCAGCCAAGCTGGGGATCACTGAATGTTTGTAAATCTCTCTTCTAAATTGGAAATGAAGCACTTGATTAGAATTTGGGGCTGTGGATTGAGAAACCTCCACAGTTAATGAACTTATGACTGTCTTCCATTAGCAAAGGATGCAGATTCTGGAATCAGAGTTCTCAGAAAGGAAAATCTGCCTTTTTATTTGTGTCTGTTGTACTCAGTAATAATGAGATCCCTGATTAACTCTTCCACTTGCCTTTCCTCCACAGGGATCCCACCTAATAAATACCATTACATTGATGACCTAGTTGTGATTCTGCCCCAAAACGTGTGGGAATATCTCTACAACAGGTGAATATGGCCATCCCATTCTTTCTCCCAGTATTTGTAAAGTGTCTTGATCTAAGCCAGGATGAGCTGTATCAGTGCCTGTCCCAAGAGGACAGCAAGAGATAAGCCAGAAGAACGAAAGTGTGGCTGAGTAAAGGCAGCTCTGTGCCCTCAGCTGCAGATGCACCTCCCTCATCAGTGTTTGGAGTAGTATAAAAATGCCTGTCTGTAGGATGCAGGGCTGGGGAGAGTTTCCATTCTGCTGCAGTTCATTCCCCTCCTCTCCCTGTGCCCAGGTTTGGGGGTGGCCCTGCAGTGAACCATCTGTACGTGTGCTCCATTTGCCAAGTGGAGATCGAAGCCCTCGCCAAGCGCAGGAGGATCGAAATCGACACTTTCATCAAGGTTGGCATGGGAAGCACTGGGAGCAAGGCAAAGGGCAGGGCTGGGAAATGGAGACCTGAAAACTCCTGCCTGTTATCCACAACATGATCTACAGCATGGCCAGGAGATTGGCCTGGGGGTTCCCCAGTGCAGAGAGGCAGCTGGGGCACGAGAATGCTGTGCAGACAGAAAGTGTGAAACCATCCTTAGCTTGTGCCTGCTCTGGTGAGCAGGAACAGGCTGTGAGGAAGAAATGACATGGGGTTCTTCTGGAGAATGGCAAGGCTGCCTTACTGTTAATGGAAGGGGGCCCCCCAAGATCTCAGGAGTGACTAAGTCCTTCCTGTATCTCTGTTGCTGCCCTCCCAGCTGAACAAGGCTTTCCAGGCAGAGGAGTCTCCAAGTGTCATCTACTGTATCAGCATGCAGTGGTTCCGGGAGTGGGAGGCCTTTGTCAAGGGCAAGGATAACGGTAAGGATCAGACACTGGGGGAAATGGGGAATGGAAATGAGTCCATTTGCTGAGCACTGCCTCTGGCTGGGGTGACAAGGCTGGGCAGGGTTCAGGCACCACCTTCCTGCAGGTCTCCAGGGCAGGACAAAAATGACAGAAGTTAGGAAAGCATCTGAATCTGGAGGCAGCAAGGAAATCAGATGGTTTTTGACATGTTTGTTCTCCTGCAGAGCCCCCTGGACCAATTGACAACACCAAGATTGCCCTCACAAAACCAGGTGGCCACGTGCAAGTCAAGCAGGGTAAGGCTGGTGCTTGCTGCCTATGATGCTCCTAAAAGTTAAAGGAGACTGTTCCACTGGATTTGGCTGTGCATAATGAAGGCACAGAGCGAGATGGGTTGCAGAGGATGACAGTTCTCTGCCCAGCCCCTGCCCTGAGTGAGCCAGTTCTCCAGTGGCAGCTCCTGCATGACCAGATGGCTGCTGTGACTGGTTCTGCAGATCCCCAGCTCCTGCCTTGCTGCTTCCCAGGCCCCTTCCACCATTCCCCTTTGTGCTGGAGCTTTGACTTTGTGTTGCTCTTGATGTGGTCTTCACTCAGCATCTGTTGTGGTCCAGCTCCCAAAGCTAAAACAGCCTCAGGTTGTGCCTGGCAAGGTTTAGATTGGCTATTAGGAAAAAATTTTACATGGAAAGGGCTGTCAGGGTTTGGAACAGGCTGCCCAGGGTAGTGGTGGAGTCGTCACCCCTGGAGGGATTTAAAAGATGTGTTGATGTGGTGTTTGTGACCACGGATTAATGGAGAACACACTGGTGCTTCCAGCAGGAGGTGGCACTGCAGGGGCTTTGTGGAGGGACCATGGATGTCTCCTCCTGGCACAGGCCTGTTGGGGGAGCTGTTCGGGGGTGAAATCCTGGCGTTGTGGTGCCCTGACCTTCCCCTGCTGCTGCAGGCGGTCAGTGCTGTTGTTCCTTCCAGGTGCTGACTACGGGCAGATCTCCGAGGAGACGTGGGTTTATTTAAGCACCCTGTACGGAGGGGGCCCAGAGATTGCCATCAGACAGAACGTGGCCCAGGTGCAGGAACTGGAGAACCTCCACGGGGAGCAGAAGATTGAAGCAGAGACACGAGCAGTGTGATCTGTGCTGATGGGGCAGGGCAGGGATGGCACAGGTACCTCCGTGGGGGACGGGAGGCTGGGAATCCTGAGGGGTCCAACATCCTCTGTTGTCTGGGACTCAAGGTGTGTGCAGCTCCCCCGCCACTCCCGGGGCAGGCAGGCTTCCTCCTCCTCCTTTCACGTGGCTCTGAGCACGGGCTGGTGCTGGGAGAGACTGGGACAAAGCTCTGCACCTCACCTCTGGCTGAAGCCGTGGTCTGAGGCTGCAGCCACAGTCACAGGGTTGTCCTGACCTAAGCCCCCTCCCTTTCCTTACACCAATCCAGCACTCCCAACTTGTCCCCAGTGCACTGAGCTCTGCTCCTTTGCAGGTTTTGCTTTTGGCACTTCTCTTTTTAATTCAAATGTGTAAAGATAATGAGACATTATTTATGTTTCCAGCGGGCAGTGTTGCAACCAGAAAAACCTGTTTTTGAGTCTGAGTAAAGCCACGAGGTCTCCCTGTGGTTTTTTGCTGGTGGTGTTGTCACAAATTCCTAGTTTTTCTCTTTGTCAAATTCTTGAAAATTCTTAGTTGCAATCAACTAAGAAATTTGGAAAGAAGCTATTCCCTTCTCCTTTCACTCCCAAAGCCACACCTTCATGGTCCTGCAGAATTTTATTTTCTCCATGTGTTTGAGCTCCTATGTTCAGCACATTTTTGGACAACAAAGCTGGAAGGCAAGTCCTCCTTCCCAAAGCCTTCCTCAGACTTACCCTTCCACGAGCCTGTGTCTGTCTCCCCTCAGCTGGTGAGGAGCTGAGGGGGGTGAAGCTGAGGAGGAGCCCTTTGTTCACAGTGAGGGCCCCAGAGCCCCTTCAGAGGGGTCACCTGGGGCTGGGGAGAGCCTGGCTGAGCAGGGCCCAGGATGGTGAACCAGCTTTTTAGGAATGAGCTCTTTCTGCAAACAAGCCCCCACCTGTGTGCTGAGGTCATTGCAGATGTCCTTTGTGTGTGCAGTGGCTCACTTAGTGAATTTGCTCCCAGATCTACTGTCACCAATGCACCAGAGACAGGAATGAGGGAAAAAAAGGCCAAACCCCACTTTTCTCAGCAGGGCTTTTCTAACATGTTTTTTGTTCTTGCAGCAAGGCAAGAGTTTAAACTTTGCAAGTCTTTGAGTGCAGTTTAATGGAGGCAGAGCAGGCAGAGCTGCCTCCCAGGGCCTGAGGAGCCAAACTGTGCTCATGGTGTAGGTGATGCCACAGCACCAGGTCTGGCCTTAGTGTGCCAGACTCTGCATGGAGCTGGGACCTCCTGAGCTCCTCACGAAAAATGGGAAGAAGGGAGGGAGGGAAAGGCTGCTCCTTGACTTAGAGATAGAAGGGGGTAGGATGGGAGAATTTGAGAAGAAAATGTGGCCTTCATGTTATTTTTTTTAATTTTTTTTTTTAGATCAAATGTTTGTTGCATAAAGCAACTTCTTTAAAAATTGTCTGTAATTGATTCAGCATGTTAATTTTACAATCCTGTTCATGGGATGCTTGTTTAGACCCAGCCAGATCCTAGGGGAGGTCAGAGAATGAGCCACTGTTGAGATCCTCATTGTTCCAAGGTGTCTTTATTCCCCACTGCAGCAGCCCTGCAGGGATCTGCTGCAGAGCCTGCAGGGCTGCATGTCCATGTTGTCTGTGTTCCAGAGGGTGCTGTACAGACTGTAATGACACTCCTGTGCTTCAGTGTTAGACCTTGTGCTGAAAGTGGTACAATAAATACATGTGCATTCAACAAGGCCTGTCTTGCCTGGTGAGAGGGGCTGACAGCTCCAGGGAGCAGGGTGGGCAAGGAAGAAAAAAAAATAAAATAAATATAAAATTAAATCCAAACTTCCTGCTGATTAGAGGCTGTGTGGGGACAGATCCTTCTGGGCAGCAGCAAGAGGAGCCTGAGGCCACTGAACCATCCTGTGCCCATTCAGAGGGCACCTGCCCCTTCAGTCTGTCTCTGCTCACAGACTTCCCTTCACCTTTCATTAACCCCATTTCACCTGAGGGGGTCTGGGTGTGACAATATTATTTTCCTGGAAGTAACTTGCAAGGGAAGGAGCTGAAGTTTCATTGAGCTGTTCCAGGATTCTACAAGAGTTTCCTGTCACTGTTCCATGGCCAAATATCCCTGCTGGTCCATTCCCCTCCCTTGGTTACACACATCAGCAGCCTGTTCCCCAGGGAACACCAGGCTCTGGGCACTGGGAATTAACCAGTTTCTAAAGCAGCCTGAGGGGCTGGAGCAGCAGGAATTCCCTGCCTGAGTGAGTGATGCAGCCTCAGCTGGAGCCTGAAATGTTTGAAGAAGCAGAGCTAGAGCTGGGTAATAAGAATGTGCAGTTTGTTCTTGAGGAGCTTGGAGTCAACTGTCCAAACTTGGATCTTACAAATAAATATCTCCCCTGAGCAACTGAACAGCTCCAAACCTTCCCAGAGATACCAAGAACTGCCCTCCCCAGGGAGGGGCTGCTCAGGGTCCAGACAAACCGCTCCAGGGCTGCTCTGGCAAAGCCCTGGCTCTGCTCTGGGTCAAGCACTCGAGGGTTAGTTCTGCATCCTGATTTCATCTGAGATCCAGCTGCAGCCTTGCTTTCCTCCAGCTCCACTGGAGGCAGCCCTGGCATTCCTGAGCACACCTCAGACACAGCTCTGGGAGCCAATGCTGAACTCTTACCAGTTCTCTTTGCAAATAATTTCCCCCCTTTTTTTGTCAGGTCCCTTTGCCAATTGCAAAAAAGGAGAGCTGAGAGAACTGTTCATGCAGTGGGGACTGATGGAGCAAACCTCAGTATTCGAGTTTCTGCTCCCTCCCCTCAGTTCTCCAGGAGTTCAGTTCTTGTGTGCTGCTCCTGTTCCTGGAGCAGAGCCATTGCTCTGTTGTAACTCTGACACAAACACTCCATACAAAAACCTTATTTCATTTTCTGCTCCCTTTTTGCTCAGCTCTACACCCCCAGCTCTCCCTCACCCCTTCAGTTGTGCTGTTTCTATTTAAAGTCAGCAGTGCTGATTCTGTGAAAGATAAATCCAAGTCAGAGCCAGAGGAACACCCCCTCCTATTCATTATTGCCCAAAACCAAAGACCAGCAGCCTGTCAGAAACAGCCCTGATCTGTCCTGAACTGACAGGGATGTTAATTACTGCTGGCAAAGAACAACTGAAATGCTTTTGAAGAAATGTAGCAGCTTGACTGTATTAAATAATCTCTAAATTATTTCTCAGATGAAAGTCCCACTCGGATGAATAGTCACCTACTGAGTGGGAAAACTGCAAATCTTCTTGGCTGTTGGATGGGCTTTGCAGTGACCTGGACCAAGGGGTGATGGAGAAGCTGGCCAAGAGCTGGGGGCTTTTCTCTCAGCTAGAGACACACACACATTATTCACAACCCTGCACACCAGAATGGGATTGTACACCTCAGCCAAAGTTACAGAAACGTGCCTGGTTTTTGGATTATTTGGTGAAGGCAGGCATTGCTGTGTGGGACACACCTGCACATCCACACATCCCTGCACAAACCCATTCCTTACCAGGCTTGCAACAGCCTGAGTTTTAATATAAAACCAATCAACATCACAAACATCTGCCAAGACTTCCAGCTAAAGCAGAGCATTCACCACAGGCATTCCATGGTACAGCTCTCTCTTCAGATGAAATCTTTCCCCCAGGTTTCCAGTTCTCATGCTGAAAAATCACAAACCACCTGCCCTTCCCAACACCAACTCCAGCCACAACAGCCAATTTCTCTTTCTCCTGACATGACCAAATTAAAACAAACAAACAAACAAACAAACAACCCAACCCAACCACTTCTTTCTTCAGCACCAGCTGAAAAGGTCCAAGTTTGATAAAATCAAATCTCAAAGTGACCTGATGGGACCCAGCTCTGTGGGACAGTCAAAGCTACAGACAGAGCCAAATTATTACTTCTGAAAATTCCAGTAGAAAATAATATAAAATAAAAAACAAAACCAAAGCCAAGAGGTACTACAAATGAAAATGTGTCCTCACTTTTCTGAAGAGAGAGCTAGGAGCAGCACCACACTGGGATGTGTTGATCCACTTGTTCCGTGTGCATTTTACATCTGGAAGCAAAACCCAAATCCACCCGCAGTCAGAAAGAGTAATGAGGAGTAAGAGAGCAGCTCTGGGGAGTTTTAGTCTGAATTTCTCTGTGGCTGAAGCAGCAGCCACAGCCAAATCCAAATTCCCACTCTCTGGACACATCTGTGGGAAGCAGCAGCTCCTGGAGAGCGACAGCTGCACCTCCACAGCCCCAAGAGCCCCAGCAAAGAGGCACCAACTTTTCTGTTGGGAAAAAAAAAGCAACAAATCCATTTTTCTTCCTGTCTGGCTGATCAAAAGGGTCCAGTGAAACTGTATTTCTGGAATTAAATGTTTATTTAAATATGCAGATGACTTAGTTTCATTGCTACAAGGTCAATATTCGCTTTCAAATGGAAGCACTTTATTTGGTTGAATTCTGTCTCCAGAAATAAATGGGCAACACCAGAACCTTTTACATTGGCAATGAAATCACAACACTGAGATGCCACCGAGATCTCGAGATCAGTGCTCAAACACACATACACACACATATACAAATAAAAAAGTGCTTGACATCATCATGTTAAAATAGAATTTGGCTTCTTTTAGGTCTTCTGACATTTCAGGCAGGAAAACAAAAAACCAAAGAACAATATGCATCAAACTAAATGAACTTCTGAAAAATACTCAGCATTAAACACAACTTTGAGTATCAGTAAATATGTTTCTTCTCTATTTACAGGTGTTAAAGAAAGGGCATTAGAGACTTTTGCTGGGGATCATGAAATTTTGTAGGAGGTACAGTCCACGCTGCTGGGCAAGATTAGTAAATCCAAGCAGAGTTTTTATAAACCAGTCACATATTTAGTTCTTCAGCGTTTGCCAAAGGTAAATTCTACAAAAATTATTCATTACCCTGAATAACAACAGCGGAATAAACGTGTGCAGACTATGAGATATGACTGTCACTATTTCTTAAATAAGTTTTAAGATGCAGGCTTTTGGGAACTACTTGCCAAGTTTATAAAAACTCCATACATGGTCTTTTAATAAAACTTCAGGAATCAATCAGTCAGCTAAAGCTAATGCTCCTTCTACAGCACAATTTAGAAACACAGACATTGCAATTGTTCCAATGTTCCACAGAGGCTGACAATAATATACTGTCCACCCAGATTAAATATAGAAAAGCAAACTTTGATTTAATTTTTACATAGATGGCACAACAATAGGTGAAAATGAATTCTTAGCTGCTGATTCAACAGTGCATTGGACACGAGAATAAAAATACTGCAGCTAAAAATATTGTAAGGATATTTTTGCACACCTGTTAATTGTTTAACCCTTTAGATCCCCTGGCAGGTGGAGACCACAAAGCCTTTTCACAAAGCTAGAGGTGCCAACCATGGGGATCTCATTCTGCTCTTGATCTGATCAGCTCAGTGAGCACAGCAGCAGCACTGATAAGGCAGTGATTTATGGATTCTGACCCTCCAGTGCTGCAGCAGAACAGCCCCAGCATTGGTGCTGCCTGTGCTCAGCACATTCGGGTTGGGTTTAAATCACAAACCTTCTGATGGTTCATGCTGGCATCTCTTAAGCACCATCACACAACAGCTACAGGATGAACTGTAGCACCAAGGGACTTCGTAAAAACAAAACTTGGCATCTTAAATGGAGAGAAAGGGACAGAATTATGAACACCACACATAACCCAGCTCAAAATCACTTAATCCTCCACGGGGACAGCCCAGGCCATCCCCAACACAGAGAATCTGAGAGTCTGGGATGTGTTTTGATGTGCTGACCCTGCAGAACAGCCCAGCAGGCAGCACAACAACACTCACCTGCCTGCACACAAACCCTGAGAGGTTTCATTTTGGGGTCACTGCCCATAGTGGCTTCCATGTAAAATTTCTCAGCTTGTGGGAATTGTACAGAATATTGTGGAGCTGGACTAGAGCCAGTAGATTCCCCAGACAAGGTCTGGACCCATGAATAAATTTGGCCCTCAAGGCCTATTTAGCAACAACTGACTCTTGCAGGGCTCAAACATGTCCATGACTAAAACCCAACCAATGGTAACAATTCAGGGGAAACCAAGTCAGAATATAGAAGTTTGTAGAAGTTTAAAGAGGAAATTAACCCTTTGTTGGGCAGTTTAAATCCAGATCGTGTGATTATCAGAGATATTGTAGCTCTCTTACCACTGTATGACATGATAAAGTGCAGAATCACTTATCCTACTTCTGCTTCAAACCATGTGAGAACAGGGTGGTCACAATTCCTGTCTGGCTGCTGGGTCCAGGTCCAGTCCACGACAAGATGGGAGAAGGAAACAGTGCAGTTTCTTTTTTTTTTTTTTCCTTTCCTCTTTTATTTATCTAAAAAAACTCTGTTATTTCAACATGAACTGATGAGAACGCACAGGAGATCATGCAAAAAGAGAAGGCAGGTCTGAAATGCTGAAAAACAAACCAACCAAAAGAAAACTGCAGAGAGATTAAACCACCAGCCACAAAATAACGTGACCCTGAGGAAGGTGGGCGCAGGCAAGGCAACAGGGCGAGCATGCAGGCTGAAACCAGAGCCAAACGAGGCCTGTGAGCAGCAACAAGGGCTGCCAACCAAAATGCCACTGTCTGTGTCTGTGTGTGTCTGTGTGTGTGTGTGAGGAACAGCAGGGACACAGGAGGGGGAAGACAGAACAAGCAGGAAAACAAGTACATACGTGAGCTTGAAGGGTTTCAGGAAACAGCAGGGTCAGAGGGGTTTAATACTTGGAATGAACATCAGCCTGGATTTGAAAAAAGAGAAATAAAGGCTGACAAGTATTAGTGACCTTTTGGGGAAGGCAGAATGTTGAATAATGCATGTGGATCAGATTTAATATTGACAAACTGAGAGCCCAGTCCAGCTGCTATAACACTGTTCCCAGGGGAGGTTTTCCGTCTCCTTTCCTCCTCTCTGGTGAGAGGACCCAGGTTTAGCACTAAAGGCACTGTGTGAAGAGCAGCTGGACCAGTGTGGACATCCAGATGGACTGAGGGACAAAGGGACAGAAGACAGACCAGAACATGCTTGGGACTCTCTGGCTACGCCCTGCATCCAAGGACAGCCAGCAGTTCTCTGACAGAAGTTGGGAGGGACTGGGCTGGGAGAAGTGTGTGTTATGTTTGACAGAGGGGCTGTGCCAGGCTGACAGAAGAGTGGGAGAGGCCGATAAGGAAATCCGAGCCACAGGTAGCATGCCATGGAAAAGAGCAAGCATCTGAATGGTACTGGGATGGAATTTAGGTCTGAATTTTTCAAGTGGGAACTCCAGACAAGACTGGGAGTCTGGCTTTCCATGGGTGTGTTTTAACTGCCTGCAGAGTAAACAGACCATTCTGATTCTCCTTCTGTGACAAGCTCGCCCCGAGGTTCTTGCACCAGCACAAACACCTTTAGGAATCTAAAACATAAGAAAGACAAAAAGAAAGAGACTGGATTAGAAAGAGGCTGGGGGAAATGGGGTCCCTTAAGAGCAGCTCTGCCTGCAGAAGATTAAAGGAAATAAAGCAATGAAGCATCTACTGGGTTACAGGGCTTAGGAAGGCTCCTGACTCAGACAGCAACCCTCCACCCTCAGCCCTTCCCTCCAGCCTGGGATGAGCATCACTGGGATTCTGCTGTGCTCTGCAAGTAAAGCACAGGAGCAGGACCCTGCCAGCACCTGCTTTGTGCCACTGAGAACACAAACAGCTTTTTCATTTTCTGTCTGCAAAGCAGCGCTGCATCTGTTCAAGTGACAGCTCCAGAGACCATCAACGACGCTGAACAACAACAACAGGAAATTAAATCAAAGAATTTGCAGAGGAATCCAGAGCTTTCCTTCCTTTCCACCACAGGCCACAGAGGCCTTTCCTTCTCAAGGGAGGGCAGGAATATGCAGCTCAGTGAACCAGCCCAAGCCTCCAAACCTCTCTTCTGGCCATCCCTGTTCCCACAGACTGGGCACTGAGGACAAGTTTTCCCTTTGGCCAAATGAAGCTACAATCCAGGAGCGTGATTTGGCCCAAATTGATGTATCCAAGGGAATACAGGATGAATCCAAACTTCCCTTGCATTTGAGAGACCAGGGAAACCTTCTCACCTCCTTTGCACCCACTTCCATCAAATCCTTCCAAATGACAGCACAAAGAAGTTTTCAAAGAGCCACAATAAAATACTTTTCTTGAGAAGAATTGCATTTGTGCTCAGAGTGAGAAGCAGCTCTGGGCCATTTGCTGTCCTTAGGAAAATTAAATGCCACTATTTTTTGCCAGTAATTATTGCCATCTACTAGTTACTGCCATTGAAAAAACTCAAAAACCAAAACCTCACAGGAATGAGAAAATATAATGTTTATTAGAAGAAGACACCATGGTACATCAAGCTATAAAGAGATTCCTGACAGATGATGATTCTTTAAAAAATAAGAATAGAAACAAGACAACCACACTGGCCAGACTGAACAAACCTTAACACAAAACAGCAGTTCCTATGCAGGTCCAGGTGCAGGCAGCTGAGTAACCAAAAACACTTATCAACATCAGAGGGACTGAGTAGTTACCAAAACAGCTGGGTTAAGCAGAAGAACAGCCTAGAGAACCATTTATATTTATACACATATAAAAGGATAAAAACAACTCAAATTCAAGTAACTTTAGTTTTTAAGTTATGTTATATACAATTTTTTTTATATACTGGGAGAACTAAGGGCATGTATTTAACAAAAGGATTTTAAAAAGCCACAGTCCAGTTTATAATTACCAATTCCTAAATAATTTGGCAAGCATTAAATAATCAGATATATCCTAGATAAAAAGTGCATCAGCATGGTTAACTTTTACCTATTTCTTTATGTAAGTCAAGGCTCTGCATGATGGTTACAGCAAACAGCAGAGCTGCAGCACTGGGAATGCCAGAGCTGCCCATAAGGAATTATTGATATCATCAGAGGTGAGGGGGAACAGACCCACAGCTGCAAAGGACCCAAAATGCTCATCAGCCCACGGCTCCAAAATAGTTTTTATCATGAAGTTTAACTTCCCAAACCAGCCTCTATTCCTGCATGTCACCCAAACAAAAATCCAGGCTTTCTGCTGGAAGGGAACGTGGCATTTCTGTTGGGTGCAATGCAGGGTTTGTTCGGAGCTGGTTACTCCATGCAGGCTTTTTTGTGTCACACGATTTCACAACATCCCTCAGTGAAAGAGTTTTGTTCCCAAGCAGATGATGAGGTACCATGGTCAGTAACACAGGCTGGTCAGGCTTGAGCTGAAAGGCCCAACTAATTCCTGTGTTTGAGAGTTCTCAGCACCAGACACCCGACAGGTACAGAAAAGCCCTGCAAGGTGCTACACCCAGGTGTGCACAGAACAGCTTCCTGCAGGAATCCCAACAGGAGCAGAGCTTGCAGCTCTCATTTCTATTCAGAAGGACAGCAATGCTGTTTGCACTAAATGGACACAGTCAGGGCAGCACCTTCATCGGCATTTCAGAGCCGAGCTGGTACCTAACAAAGTCTTTCAGTGATGGAGATATGACATGTGCATTCATCTCTTCTAAAGAAAACCTTCTCAAACAGAGCTCTTAAAACAACCGTAGCAGCAAACCAGGAGAATAAAGGGTGGACAGGCCTATGCAAACCTACTCAGAGATTTTCTGAAGTGGTTTGTGCACATCTGGAAAAAAAAAAAAAAGGCAAAACAAGATAGGCATTACTGTTCTTTTTGTGACAGGGTTTGCCAAAACCCTCTGACCAGAGGCACCCTTGTAAATGTCATCAGGAGCCCTCACACAGGGACTGGCAGGGCACAGACCCAGCTTGGCTCCTCTAAAACTACGATCAGGAGGGCACCTGCAGCACACAACTTACCTGTCCTGCTCAGCTCAGTTCTGCAGCAGAGCCCTGACAACACAGGCTCCAGCTGAGTGAAACAGCAGCGTCTCACAGAGCACTGAGCTGCCCCTGGCTCATGGCACAGACACAGCCTGGCCAGGCAGGTCTGGCTCTGCTGGCTGGGACAGTCACAGGGACTGGGAGCTCCCACCCTTCTGCCACCAGCCTCTCATGGTACCAGCTGCTCAACCTTCTTTCCAAAAAGAGGAAAGGATTACTAAAGTTTGCAAATGCTCTCATGTTTACAGTGTTTTCTTCAGGAATGTCATTGCTTCTATTTCAAGGACTCAAGTCACTTCTACCAATATCTTAAAAATCAATTTGCAGCTTGCAACAAAGCTCACCTTTTAAACACACCATTTCCTCCAAATCTTAATGCTGCATTCTATGAAAAGTTTTCTTTTAGCTTTTCTTTTAAACCAGAGACTTGAGAAATAAAAGAGGTAAACATTATCTTTCCTATACATTAGATATTCACAGATACATTTGATTTTGTTCCTGAAATCCAGCAAAATTAATGGTGAAACATTTAAATTATCTCAAAACTCTCCTTTGTGGCTACAGAAATGGCTGCAGCTGTATCAGCCTTCACCCCTGGCACAGTTTGCATTTTTACTCTGATGGAAGGTATGAGGGTTGGAATGACAGGGACCCTTCCAACCCAAACCAGTCTATGATTCCATGATTTCCAATCGTTCAGCCTTGCTCTGGATATAAAGGGGAATGGATAATCCATGTTCCTCTTTCAAAGGTTAATAAAAAACAAGAGAGGGCTAAAATTTTTACACTCTTTTGCATCTCAACTGACAATGTATTTGCCAACAGGAACATAAATTTATGGCAAAATAAAACAATTCCCAGATTTTCAACTGCAGCAGATGAAGCACTGCACTGATTAACACCCAACTCAAACATTGAACTTGCTGGTTTATGGGCACAGTCCTTCTCCTCTCTTCCTGCTTCCCATAAACACCAAAGAAAATGGTTCCATTTGCTTTTGACTTTGATGAGGCTGTTTGTTTCACACCAAGAAATCTCAAGCTAGGAAACACAATAATCTGAAAGATTAAGTGACTGAATAAACACAAATTATTTAACAGTGGAGTTCTAACACATCCTGATTTGAAACAGGGCTAAAATCTTTGATTTCTTGGTGTATTCCACTGCCAGGTGTCCAGCACTGGCATTTTCACCAGCCAGGTCTGCCCTGCAGCACTGCTTCCTTACACAAAACATTTGGGAGGAATTAAAAGCAACAAACAGCATCTTACTGAGTCCAAACTCTGAATGTCTCCATTGATCTCGTGTAAGCAAAAGATTACCATTAGTTCTGGTCAGCTGAAACACCAAATACATCTGAAATGTAGCAAGGTGGGAATGAAGAGAGGAGCTTTCTTCATGTTTTACCCATTTATCAAGGATCACAGAGTGCTATGTAGAAGGGTTTTGGTAAGATCTTTCCTTTCCCTTCCACAGACACAAAACTAAATTACCTCCAGTTTTCAATCCAAAAGGTCCCCAGAACACAACAGGCTCTGAAATCTCCCACACAGACACAAACCAACAGTCTAAATATTCCCTCTACAAAGTTCCACTGAGTGACTTTGGGACAAACAGTTGACTTGTGGATGTGTCTGAGATGCCACCTCGGTATCTGAAGAGAGCCCAAATGATCCCAAAGGGCTTTGTGCTTCCTGCACTAAGCTGGATGTGCAGTGGCAATGACAGTTGAGCAAACACTGTCCAGGAAAGGCTGCATTTCCCCTCTGCTTTCACAGTCCCCCACACCACCCTTCTCTGAGCAAGAAAAGCACATTTTGCAGTACAACAAGCCATAATTAGTCCACGTACAGAATAATGCACTTGGTGGCACTGTACAGACTCTTAAAAGGCTCTATCTGCAACACAGAGCAGTTTCAGGGTTGGATTATCTCTGTGAAAGCAAATAAAACAATAATAATAGCATTAAATATAGGTCATAGCACCTTTGGCATTTTTGTCCAAATAGACTTCAACATAGGATGTGGGGACATAGCCCTCCTCATCTTCGTTCCTTCGGATTCGCGTCCACCCATCGCCTTTGTCTTCTTCTATTACATAGAGCATCTCTCCTTCTGCTACAGAGATTGTTCCTTCATTCTGACCTGCAACACAGAGCAACAGGGACTTTAGGCTGTGCTGCACAGCAGGAATCAGTAACTCAGGCCATGGGTGGACACAGCTTTTGGTGCATCACTGGCAGCAAGAACAGGGGCTTGTGATTCAGGAGTCAGCAGTGTGTACACAAAGAACCAGATAAAAGTGATCCTAACAGCAGAGTTTTGGTTCTCTTGTAGAGTTCCTGTGCAACAGGAGATGAATCCCTGTCTTGGTTTCTTTTTACAGAATCACACCAGAACCTCACTTGCCCTTTGGCTATTTAAGGTTTAATGAAGGTTTCCCACTTGCCCGTAGCATATGGACTTAAAAAAAAACTCCAGTCAATGAAATGAAGATAAAGTTTACATGATACCTTCAAATGTATAGAGTGCTTTACATGTTCCTATGGTGGGTAGTGGTTCTTCATCATCAAACTCATCATCAAAGTCTGTTGCAGGTACTTTCATCTCAGTCTCCTGGCTCTGTTCCTCTGTGTAACTGCCATCGGGGCTGCTCAAGAGAGGAAAAACACAGCAACTATAGCAACCAACCTCAGCAGCAGACAGAACCACTTGGTCACCAGGCTTGGGGCAAGGGGAGTAACTCCAGCTGGAGCAGCTCAATGATTCCAGAGCTTGCCTGCAGCTGGCTCTAACTACAGATAGGTGAGAACCCTCACTTTTACCATTAAAAAGCTTCACAGAAGTGAGTGAGGGAGCTGTCACACGGCTCATTGCAGTCAGACACACAGCTCTTTGAGGCAGGATATGGCAAGACCAGGCTGCAGAGCCCTGGTGTGTGCCTGCAGAGGCTCTGCTGCAGCCCCAGCCCTGTACAGATACGGTACCTCTCGCGGTCCTGGGCACAGCTGTTCACTCCTGACGGGTTCTGCGCCTCGTACACCCCGCTCTGCCGCCGGGGCTGCTCCGTCCGTGCCGGCAGCCGCCCCTCCACCTCTGCCAGCCAGCCCTGCCAGACAGACAGACAGACAGACAGTGTTCACCCTGCTGGGGCACTCCCAGACTGCAGAACAGACTGGTTTCTAAACATGTTCATGTTTTCCTTCGAGTGGCAGTGGTCCGTTGTTCAAATTCTGGATTGCCTTGCTGAAAAACACACTTATTGAAGACACCCTGAGAGAGAAGCAGTTAACAGCCAGCAGGAGATGATGCTGCTCTAGTCACAATCAAGTAAAATGATGTGTGGCTGCTTAGAGTAGTCTGAGGAACACCAAAAACTCAGCAATTGCTGAAAGCAAGGGAACAAAAGCTGGAAAGAAAGAAAGAGCCACTGATTTCAAATGGGTGGGAAGCCAATGGATAGCAAAACCACATCTGAAATTAATGGGCTGTATCTGTTTATGTTCAAAGCACAATGTAGAAAGTGAAATCTTTTCTCAGCTGTCTAATCCTTCTTATGTAATTATAATGGGCTTCATATATTCCAAACAACCCCCCTCTCTGCTCTGGAGATTTGATATCTCTAAGCAGCTTCCTGTTCATGGCAGACTGTTCTTTAAAACGTATTTCATTTGATGGCTTTTGTCTTGCTGTTAGTCTCTAAATGGTGCTTTGCATTTATGTCACTATGACTCTCCACAGACATCTGTAACATGATGCTTCAATTTATTTCATTAATTAAATAATGAAAGCTCTCTGAAGCCCTCTGGGCAGTCCAGAGAGCACTGCATCTTCTCTTTACCTCTGTTTAGCACAATTTGATTTCTGTGCCAAATTTACCTGTGGGCTAACAGCCACAGGAGATGGTGCATGTTTATGTTACACAAATCAGCTCAAAGACCCCAATTAATGCAAGTGCTCACGGGGCCCTTGCCCCACAATACATCTGAAAAAGCCAGGAAGGCCCTGCTCAGACCTGAGCATTTGCTGAGCTGCTTTTTACTGAAATGTTTCCTCTCATACCTCGAATTTCTGAACTTCTAATCGCAGCTTTTCAATGTTCTGCCCAAGCTCTGCCAATCTGTGGTCCACACTCGCTGCGTCTCCCATCTGGGGGTTCTTGATGTACACGTCTTTCATCTTTGTTAAGGCATCTCTGAGGGACAAAACAAAAATAAAACACATTTAGTGCAGCTGGGGGTCTCTTCTTCACTCTGAGGTTCAATCTAAGCTGTTAGAAAGGAAACTGAGAACACCCAGATGGGGCTTTTGCCCTGGATAGGACCAACCATTAAAAAAGAACAGTAAAATTATTTGCCAGGAGAGAATTTACACTGTCAGAGATAAAAAACAGTGAGTTATGAACAATATAAGAAGATACTTGATATTGATTTTTAGCCTGATGTGGTTTTTTTATGTAGTACAACAGTACCTACTTGCTGCCCTGGGGAAAATAATAATAATAAATCTTACAAACATCGCAATCCATGACAGCTCCAACTTTCTAGACTAATACCTTCCCAGTTTTCAGGGCATAGACAAACAGTTGAATCATTATCATCCATCATGGGCTGACCTCCAGTTGAGAAAGTGGAACAAAGATATATTGATAAGAGAAATGGAGGGCAAACCAGAAATCCTCACCCTGCCTGTTGCAGCTTGTCTTTAGCAACTCAAATAATCTGAAAGATATTTATTTGTTTCACACTGCTTAAAAGGAAGCTGGCTGCAGATGGTTTGTGTTTGTCACAGCACAGGGACAGACAGACTTGCAGTTACAAAATGTGACCCCAGGTCCAGCCGAGTCCCAGGGCAGCTTCACTCGGCTGTTGATGGACATTTCAGAGCTGAAAATGGAATTATGGGCTGGTTTTAGGCACAACTATTCAGATTTTCTCTAGGCATTAGCTGGTGGGAGAGAGGTTAATGACAGTCCCACGACTCAAGTTAACACTCTTTATGCTTTAGAGTTTCCCACCAAACTCTTGACAATTGCAATCCTGTGCCTTTGCCTCGTGTGTATGGAAACTGGGAAAAAGTGTGGGTGGCAAGGAAGTGGGACTGCTCTGTGCCTGAAGCCTTAAGGGACAATGTTGCAAACATATGAGTCACAATTATTACTGTTTGTTTAACTCTTATTTAACTGCTGCTCCTATTTTCTCCATCATAAACTGTCTTCATTTAAATTTCACTCTGATTTTAATGTTGGGTTCCCTCCGAATCAATACAGAACAGAATGAAAAACCTGCAAAAGCTCAGGCAAACCTAAGTTACCACCACAGAGGAAAAAACCAAAGCAATGAGAAATCATATATCCACATGCAATTTTCTTATCCATGATACAAAATATAAAGGAGAAATTCTGGGTTAGTAGGCAAAATAAGCAGGTTCTTGACAGCAAGCTGACACAAAATGCAGGCACATGTGTACAAACACAAAGCAGTATTTAGGGAGAGACCAGTTTTGAAATCCTTCAGGGAAGAAAAGTTCTGTGTCTCACAAACAAAACATGCTGAATCTTTAATGCAACTACTGAATGTGAACAAACCAAAGCACAAATACAGGCTGCCAGAATCAATTAAAAGTGTGTAGCTAAAATAGCCTTATTCTTAATCAGAATGATAAATGCAGCCTTGTAGAAAAAGCATTCACAGAAGCACAGAATTCATCATCTTTCTGCTTCCAGGAAATCAAAGGTACAGATGAGAGAGGCTGATGATGATGCCATCATGTTATAACAGCCTTTCCTGTTGGGATCTACCCACATCCATCACACACAGGGGCTCTGCTCAGTGTAATCTCACTTCTCACTGGAGAGGTTTGGCTCACCTGGAATCCATCTCTTTCTGAATGTCCCTGTTTAGTTCATCGACCTTTTGCTGAAGCTTCTTTCTTCTCTGCTCAGGTGGGAGATTGCTGAAGTCTTCTGGGCCTGCTCCCTGCACAGAGTGGAATGGAGGATGGGGGGGGGGGATATTAAAAAAATTAATAATCAGAGTCTGAAAGAATGCTTTGGGATTGCATTTTGAAAACAGGCCACAAAAAGCTGTGCAAAATCACAGTGGTCCGAAGCATTGTTATCATCTGTACTGTGTTATCAGTCCCTGAATGGTGAGGAATCTGGATGCCCTCAAAATGATCCCAGGAACACATCCTGCTTCCTTCCCTAACAGTGGCTAATGGAAGATAAACTGGAGAATTCCAGAATTCAACAACAAAGCTGAGAAATTATTTTTATCTACAGTTTTATCACCAGATTTTTTTTTAAACAGAGTTCCCTTCTCATGGAAAGCTGATCCCTTCCTGCCTTCTTTCACTCTGCTACAAAGAGCATTCCCATAAAAGTAGTTCCTGGCTTTTAGTCCCATGTCATTGCACTTCTGTGCACTGCTGATTGACTGCTGGTCCAACACAGTTAAACTATGTCAGGGGTCTCCTGAACACACCAAGCTAACAGAAGCATTCCCCACTGAACCCTGCAAGTTAAAAAACATGCTGCTTACTTTCCAGGGTCCACATTTCATGCCAAAGGCTCTCAGCTTTTCCTCTCTCACTTGTACTCACACAAAAACCAGGAGTTATATCAAAACCTTAGAATCAGTCAGTTTGAAATCATAACCAAAGGAAAAAAAAAAAAAAAAAAAGTGAAGACCACAGTGGTTACCTTTGTGTGATTCTGCTTGACAACCCCTTTTCTGCCTTCTGCTATGTCTCCTCTTGATTGCCTCAATTTGATATAGCAGATAGATGACACATAAAATACATCCACACTCTTTTCTTCACAGTAACACCTATTTTTGTCTTGCCAGAAGGCAATGGAGGCAGATTGGGTGGGCTATACTGAACACATATCAATACTGATTAGTTGCACCATAAGGGAGTGAGGTTCTTGTGCATAAGCTTGAATTTGGGCAGGTTTTGCTTGTTTCAGCTTTTGCTCATTCCCTGTCCAATTTCTAAGGGAGAATTTGGAGGAAGAAGGGTAAAAACACAAAGCTGAGTAACCAAGTTCAGTGGTCCATCAGTTTACTGAGAGCCTGTGAGCAGGGCTGGGTCATCACTCTTGCTAAAACACCAAATTTCTCCCTGAGGAGAGTGATTTAGATGAGACACTGCCACCAAAGCTGCTCTTCAGACCCTTGGCTCTGTCCTGAATGTGCTGGGACACTGTGTCTTTCTCCTGCAGCTGCAGAACAGCTGTTCAAAACCAAAGTCTGGGGGTGTCAGAGGGCTGGAGGACAACCACTCACAGGTCACCTTCTCCTCTGGACTGGCCATTCCAAAGCCACAGAGCAGGCCTGAGGAAATTGCTGCTGTATGATTGTCAGTCAAAATGGCATGTGCTTCTAGTGAAGCTTTGATCATCTGTGCAATAATACACTAAAAATTCCATCTGTGAGACAATGAGAAAGCAAATTTAAGATTTGAAGAGGACTTTGAAGACTTCTTGACTAAGAAAGTTAGGCTGATTCTGAAACTTCACCCACACGGAGTCCTACCAGTGCTTACATTACTTGATGTGCCTGGTAGAGGAGAGATCTATTTTAATTTATTATTTAATGTTTAGATTTTGCTTGACAGCAACTCCCACATCACAACAGACATGAGAGTGATTCAATCTATTTTATGGATAATCTACACTAAAGCCATACATATTCTTTTTAAGGCAAAGCATCTGTAGGCAGCTCTGTGAACAAGCAAGCAGTTACAGGAAAGTCTAGATAACATATTCTGACATATCCTCCTCAGGAAACAGGCTTAAAAATATCCCCAGCTGTACATTAGTAGAATGCAACAGATAGAGTGAAATTTGGAAAAGCTTCTTTTTGGTATCTTATTTTTGATTCTTCAACTTTATTCAAGAGTTCTAAGCTGGACTAAATCCAGCACTTGGCTCACAGTGCTTCAGACCAAAGCAGGAGTGTTGCACAGAGCTGCACAGCCAAGGCTGGCAGGTGACCTCACTCCAGATTTAGTCTGTGCTCAGGAATTTCCTATCAGAAGCTGAAGCCCCTGCTCCAAAAAGGAGAGTCAAGGAGCAGTTTTTGCACACATTGAGCACATTTCATGCTCTCAAGCACAAACACACCTGGGCTATCTCTCAGATTGTGGACATTGCCTACATTTTTAGAAATGCTGCAGCAGTGAGGTGAGGGGAAAGCTGTGCTATTTCTGATGTGCTGCTCACAAGGTGTCCTTGCAGAAAAGTAATGAGATTTAGGATTCAAATTGTCCCAGGATGAAGGACTGTGAAAACAGGGGCTGTGTTAGGACCAGTTTCTCGGCTGAAGCTACATGTGAGGAGAGCATGAGCTTTTTCAGGCCCAGTTTTGGCTCTTGCATAGTGAGGATCCAAGAGGAGATTACAAAAAGCTGCTTTTCTCCATCTGAGGTGAAAATGGGTCCCAGCCCTCCCTGCACATCTTTCCAGTTTCTGCAGTTCCCAGGGAAAGGCTGTGTCAGCCATTTTTGGAGGATTTATTCCTACATGCAAAGGCTTGTCTCAGCTCCACAGCACACTAGCACTGTGACCAAGAAAATCAGTGGAAATCCAGTACAAATGCATTGGGCTCCCTGGACAGTGGCTTTTGGCAACAGTCAAAAGAAGGTTTGCAAGTATTCCATCATTCCACTCCCATCATTCCTCAGACCTACCACAGGTCTTCAGTGAGAAGCAACCTTGCTAAAGGAGCCCAAGAAAGTCACTGTGCCACCAGAGCAGCAGCAGGACCCAAAACTGCCAGGGCTGCTCCAGGCAGCTCTGGTGGCCCACAATGATGTATCCAAGCACAAGATATATGTAGAATCATGGAATGGTTTGTGTTGGAGGGGATCTTAAAGCTCATCTTGTTCCAACCCCCTGCCACAGGCAGGGACACCTTACATGATCCCAGATTGCTCCAAGCCCCGTCCAGTCTGGCCTTGGGCACTTCCAGGGATGGGGCAGCCACAGCTTCTCTGGGCACCCTGTGCCAGGGCTTCCCCACCCTCTCAGGTAAGGAAAACAACACCCAAAGGCACAAACCAGTGAGGAATAACAGAGCTTGGAAGCTGACACAGTTTAGGTGCCCCTGTGGATCCTTTGAGGTCCCCAAATGCCATCACCAGCTTGGCTCTTGTGTGTTTGCACAAGGTGGGGCAGCAAACCAGGCACATTTTCCTGCTGAGAGGCTCTCCAGGGCCAGAGGAATGTGGACAAGCTGTCAGAGACATAGCAAGGTGTGCAGTGTCTCAAGCAAAACAATACCTTGTGCAGGGAGTTCAGCACGTAATTTGCTTTCCCAGGTCTGTTCATCCCTTCCCTTTCCAGCTCAATAATATCTTTATCTTACCATAGTTCAAGCAACCTTCCCAGCTGCATCCAAGATGGAATTTAGGATTCACACACATACATCTCTCTCAATTTGGAAATTCAAATCAGATTGAGTTAACCTTGTTGGTTAAGGTTTACAGAACTTTAATTAATGTCATTATTGGTTATTCTGAAGGACTACATAGGGCTGTAAAATGTAGGTGATAATGATGCAAATTTCCAGTAATACTGTATATGGAAAGCAAACTTTGCAGCTACTTTACACAGAAAGACATGCATAGCTCTCTGGAAAAAGTCCAGCAAGTGCAGAGACCTTTATTTTAATTTTTTCCCCCTTCTTTTAATGTTTAATGTATACTTATAAAGTAGCAGAATTACTTGCTACTGTTTTGCTACATTTTCATAGCCCTAGATTATAAAAGTGAAAACTAAACTATATATTAGAGTTAATTTTTTAGCAGCTTATTAGAAGACTGAATTCTGATCACCTCTATTAGACTCCAGACCTGTGTATTCAGATTTATCTGATAAATGTCAAAAAAAGCAAACACAAAGAAGAAACAAATTTAACGGTTAATTTCAGTGTCATGTCACATGTGGCACAGTGCACATTAAAACACACACAGGAAATTGTGATTAAAACACAGGACAGGCATGCTGTAAATGTGCTTACCAGCTTGAGAGAAAGCTTCATGTAAAATTGGAGAGATACAGGGTGGGGGGAGAGAGAGAAAAAACAACAGTGCATCAGTAGAAGAGGAACTTTTTCAGGCTGATGTTACAATAAAATGACACAATCCTCTTGCTGTTGGAAGGCAAAATGGGTCACACTAACAGATCTGTGCAAAAGTTCACAAGATGGGCTTGGGCAGCTGCCACAACCTGGCCAGAAACGGGAATGGGAAGTGCTGGACCTGGGCACAGGTGGAATTGGCCCTGGACTGACTGACTACAACAACACTGGGAGTTCTCATCACAGCAACATCACTGAGGTGGGGAAAACTCACAGCTTGCAAATGTATGGGCATCACTTTAGATCAAAAACATGCTGAAATGCATCAGCCTCTTCATGGAAGGGGTTTGGGGGGTAACCCTTGAGCCAAATCTCAGTGGAGAGGTGAGGAATGGCTCCAGCAGCACCCCAGTACCATGGGATCTCCAGGGAATGCCTGGTTCTCTGGCTACAGCCAAAGGACAACACCCCTGGACTGTCCCTGTGGACTGCAGAGTGCTGCCCAGGCAGGCACAGAAAGCCATTTCACATTCTTGAACAATTCACAAACAAATACTCAGACTCAAACGTATTTCGGCCATAGCCAGACAAGGTCAGGCCCAAGGAGGAGGAAAAAAATATCTATTCTCTTGACATCAAATTGGTTCTATGACAGCATGGTAAGACATTATTCAACCTCTTTAAATGTTATACATGATCTAATTCTTCAGAAGTTACCACATTTCCTGGGACAGAGCCCAAACATTATCATTTAGTTACTCTGGGAAAGCAGAGTGTGCCCATGGAGCTGCATCTCTGCCCTGCCTCACCTGCACACACAGCTCTGGGCATGTGCCCCAGGAACTCCCAGGTGAACAACTGTGCCTGGGCACACAACCAGCAAAATTCCCAAAGCCTCTTCCAGCATTGCAAAATGACAAAACAGCTGCAGCTCAGAAGGATTTCCAAGAGATAGGGGGACTGCTCGGTTCTGTGCCAAGCACAAGTGAGCTGCTGCTCGAGATCTAAAGGCAGATAGAAAAGGAGAATCCAAACTCCACCCAGCATCCTCCTCCTCCTGCAGCGGGCACTGAGCTGCCCTGCCAGCTCTCAGGACAGTTGTGAAATGCTCCAACAACGCAACAAACTTGAGGTGCATAAAAGCACACTCTCCATGTTAACAGCAGCTGAAAGGTAAAAGCTGGGAAATGCCTCTCTCCAGGCAAGGATTTGTGCTGCCAGATTTGGGAACCTCTTTCCATTCGAGTTCTCTGCCACCACCAACAGCTCCTGGCAATGGTGTTCTCAAACAGATGCTCCATTTTTAGCAAAAACACAGTTCATTAGGATTGGATTTAAAATAAAGGCTCCACATCTCTTGTGGGTGGCTGATTTAAGAAATACACTTTTTTTTTTCTAAAATAACAATTCCCATTAGTTACCAGGATTTGTACAGCAACACATGCCAGCCATTCAAGGAAAATAAATGGTCTTGAAATAATAATGAAATGCTGCATCTGAACTGATCATTCAGTGATAAGGCAGCAGTGACACTTCCCTCTGCAGTCCAGTCCATTAGGGAACAAATACATGACAATCATCACAGTGCCATGAAGAAATTCACCCTCTGAGCTAGAGAGGCCATTAAAAAAATAAAGCAAACAAAACCAATCCATTGGAGAGAGTAATCATAGAAGGAGAAAGAATGGTCTGAAGAAATTCAGCGTAGGCAGCTTGTGTTTGCATCATTGCTTTAGCACTCCTGTGAACTTTAGCATAGACATGATCAGCACAAATTGAGATTCTTGTACATAGCTACAGACAAGACTCATGGTGCAGAATAAATATTTACCTATGAAGCACTCTAAAAAGGCACAAATGTATGCTACATGCGCTAGTGGCTAAACACTACTCACTCTAAAGGCACTAAATACTGCGGAGAATCATCTGCATCAAGGCTATTCTTTTGCTGCAAATTCAGCAAATTTGAAAGGGATTACAGACACTGTATGCCCAATTCTTTTGCTGTTAAGTATGACAAGAATAGAGAACTTATTAATAGCATTTCCAAATAGTACATCAGGGATTGTTATAACCAGTATAAATAAAGCAGTTCATAGGCTGGAAACAATGAAATGCTGAAATAAGTCATATTCACAGTTTTCCATTTCTGAAATTTATTGGTAATTTTACATGACAGTGATTCAGTTTCTATAAACAAATATAAGCAGATTGAAAATAAATCTGCATTAAACACTACATAACTACTTTTGCCCATTCTGTTGGGTTTTCACAGCTAGAAACTTGCTCACAGCTCCTGGGAGAACAAAGGCATTTTCCACCCAAATGATCAAATAAGTTACATTTCCTTGAAATGAGCAAATGTGTTTCAAGCTGTCAATTTAAACCAAGCCTAGCTCAGTCTTGCAGGGAAAAAATGAAGAGTCTAAGAGCCACAAGCTTCAATAACACATGAGAGAGCATGAGAGCCAGCAGGTCCATGTGTTATTGGACAGTCACGGCCACTAACCTCACTTACAGAAAACAGGGTTCAAATAAATCACTGGACTTTCATATATACAACCAAGAGGTAACTTTTTATTTTTTTTTAGTGGCCCTGTAAAAATCTCCCCATACTCTGCTTTGTCCAAGTAGCAGATTTAAAGGTCATATGCCTTTTGATTCCATGAACTATCATCATTATAGACAGCTCATAGAAGTTTCCAAAGGCTCTAGAGAGTGCTCACAACCAAGGCACAGAATTCCTGTCCATCAGGGCTCATGCTGCTCAAGACTGCATTCATTAAATAATTTAAAATAAATGTGCAGAACCTGTTTACAAAACTTTGGATTTCACAGGTCCAGCTACTTTAACAGTGCCAATTTCAGCATTTCCAGGACTAGCAGACATTATCTTTCCTGCACATCACACCATGAGCTGCCACTTGCCTCCCACCAAATTTTCCTTGGCTCTTTGACAAAGCACATTCCCACAGCACACTCGGGCCGGCGTTGTAAGTGGGGTTAGCGACTGTGTAGCAACAGTATGGGCTGATCACACCATACTCAGACTTACAACATATTCCCTAGCCTCAACGGCACACGTGGGTGTCCCTAAAGTCCTCTTCATGAGTTCTTTGTGAATATACAAAGACTGTGTCTGCTGGTGAGTCAGCAAGAGAAAACACACATTGGTTACACCGAGGATGAGCACGGCACCTCTGTGTTCACTGCTTCTACAGCAAAAGACAGCTTGGTGTTTAACTACCCTCAAGGTGCAGTGGGAACTTCCTAGGAGCCAGGTGGATATTAAGAGTCCAGCATGCTCAGAGAGATCAGAAACATGGCATTTTTAAATGATTCTTTAAATACCAAGGTCAGAAAACATCTCTCTCGGTGCTAGAACAAGCCATGGATTTAATGACCCCACCCACCAAAAAGTCCCAGTCTTGGCACAGAGAGAGACACTTACATTAGACCATCAAGTGTTCCCAGGGCAGAGAACAGAGCAGGATGGAGAGGGGGTAGTTTTCTTGCTGTCTCTGCATGCTCACAGAGCAACAAAATACTGATCAGTGGGGCAGAGTCAGAGCTGGGTGCTGGACAGGAGTGCACAGAGTATCAGAGGAGACGGGCAGGGAGGGACAACAGCAACGGGTGCAATGGAAATAAAATCACATTGTAATGAAGTCAACAACTTCCACTAGAAAGGAAACCACAAAATTTCCTCCGTGTGCTTTATGGAACTTGGATACTGGCAGTAATGTCTGCCCCAGCTCCCAGACCATCCTCCCAGCTCAGTCACTTCCCGGGCTCTGGGGAGAGGGAGGAAAGGAAAGCCAAGTCCACACCGGCACACGGAGTCATTCAAAGGTGTAAGTTCTACCCCTGGATGTTGTTAGTTTGGAGGATTGCTCTTTTAAAAAAAGGTGCTGATGTTACTGCAGCTGCAGCAATAAAACTGAAATAAAACACAAAAGTAGTACCAACCGGCAGAATACCAAGTTTTCTTTGTCCTCAAAATGGAATTAGAAAAAGCAGAGCAAGCATAAATGAAATTATAAGTTATGTAACTGGTTCCTCATTCTTTGTGCTCTTCTGGCTTTAACTTCCCTAAAGAGATGAAGTTGATTTGAAGTGCTACACTAATTTTATAGTGTCTTTTAAAGCATCTATTAGAAAAAACACCCACAAAACAATGTATGATAGTTTTTCCTAGTTCTGATCCATAATAAGTTTTCTAACAGTTTTACAGTATTCTCTATAATGGACATTTCTGCTGCTGGGGTTAGAAGAAAAAAGCTTTGAGAAAAATACAAAAATGTGATTAGAAAACCATAGACACTGACAAGAGTCAGCACCTAAATGTTTAATTTTTTTAAAATTTTCTTTAAACAGACTAGGATTTCATATTGGCAGTGACCACTGATACTGGTATTGGTGCCTCCACATTAACCTTGCATCTGTTGTGAATTGTTCAGGCATCTGTTTCCTTCCATGAAAACAAGATTCGTTGCATTTTTGGTTTGGAAGCAAAATTAAAACCAGACTGAGCGCAAGACATATCATAGCTAATTATATAATTTGTTTTAACAGTCACCAGTGATTTTGCCAAATGCAACCTAAGATGCTAAACCAAAATTTTGAAAGGAAATTACTAAAACACACTCCCTCTCCAGACACGTTCTGATCTCACAGATTTCACGGAGGAGTTGTATGGGAATCCATTCATGTGTTATGTTTCAAGGATCAATTACAATGTGCAATTCCTGCTGCTGGAATTTATCCTGCAATGGTCTCAGGACTTGTTCATGTCAGATAGTTACTTTTCCTTATTCTTTAAGACAGTGTGAAAAAGGAGTGTGATCCCCTTTTTTCTGAAGTAAACTTTTTTCACTGGCTTTGTAGGATTTGAGAGCCCAAAGGTTATCAAGAAATCCAGTAAGCACCCGCTTGGAAATTTAGCTGAATACTCTAAAATAAGACTTAAAGAGCCTTGTGGGCACCTTCACTGAAGGTGTCTGGAGTGGAATTCTGCCAAGGAACAAACCCAGCAGTGCAGAGACAATTCAAAGCAAATTAAATGATCCAGACTCCAAACTCCTGTTACACTGTGCTACCCTGCTGGTCCTTGCATGACCTTCCAAAAATCTGTTTCCCTGATGTACAGATCAAACATTCTTCTGTGCAGAGGAGAGTTCCACCCTACATCCCCCTCATTCCTCTGGGAACATCACCATCCAGGATCCCTGACATTAATGCTCATGCTCCTGAGTAAAACTGAGATGGTTTTGGATTTTACAAGGGAATGGAAAAGCACTGAATATAGGAAATCTTACTAAACTTAATAAAATTAAAGCAGAATTAACAGTATTGTCTAGCTGTACCTAATATAACAGGGGTCATATCAACTGAAAGAAACACCAAACACTCATTTTTCACCTAATAAATTAAAATGATTTGTGGGTGGTTCTTTATTTTCCTTTTGCATGGTTAGAATGATTTTATTTTTGAAGGTCATATGGCACTTCGATGATCTCTTAGTCTGACCATTTGTAAAATCACCAAGGACCTACAAAAATGTGAATTTTTAAATGAGACAGAGCAAGCTGCCAAAGCTTTGCAGCCTCTCCTCCTCCTCCATATCCCTGGATGATCCAAGGGGCCTGAATTCATCCCTCTGGGATAAGAGATGATTATCTGAACACTGGACTCCAAATCCTCAGGATGAGTCAGGCAGGAAAAGTATTTACACACAAACATCCTGGTAGCTGACAGGGGAAGGAAATGAAATAGCAAAAGAACACAGTGAAAGGTTTAAATGAAGATTTAGCAATAGCCCTTCCTCACACATTCTCAATGAATGTGTCAGCAGAAATTAGAGGGATTCCAGAGAAAACTGTAGGACATTTTTCTCATTACTTTGCCTTTCACACAAAGCACTTAAAAAAATAAGGCATGTAGAATTCTTAAGGTGTGCTTGGATTTCTTAGATAGCTAATACATAAAATAATGGCCTTCCTTCAGCAACTCTTAAAATCAATTAGTTATAACTGCTTATATGGCCAAGCAATCAGCCAAAGAGTACATTCAAAATACAAACTGGTGAAATGCCCATGGAACTACAAACCAGTATTTTTAAGTCAATAAGAAATACTCAGCACTATTTTCAACCTTCTGTTCTCTGAATGCCACCATGGAGCATTAGATTGCAACACACCCCTGACCTCCAGCAGTGCCTGCACCCCTGAGTGACCCAGCACTGCCAGGACAACCAGGGCTCCAGTTGCCACCCCTGGAGTGGTGCCACCACCCAGCACATCCTCAGCTCTGCTGCTGCACAAGCAGAACTGAAAGTCTGTCTCCACCTGGAAAAAACACTGACAAGATGCTCTGAGTCAAATACAACTGGGGAAAGGAGAGAGACATACAGAACCTGCCTTTGGACAGTTTAGAATCTCCCCACTTCCCCAGTGAAACAGGGATGGGAAGAAATGGGATTTTTTGTGTTCTGAGTGTCCCATTAAGTGGCTGTTTCCTAGCAAAGAACTGAAACTGTTTAAAACATTTATTCTTAACTGTTCTGTCTGTAACCAGATGAGACAGTGCATTGTTTACAGCACTGCTCTCAATTCTTTGTAACCAACCACTGAAGTTCCCCATGGAAATCATCCCTGCTTTTATATAGCTCCAGTCCTCAGTCCTAAATGAGTGCCTGGAGCAGAATTTGGGCTTTTTTAAGTAGTCACTTCCTCACTGTTACTGTCTGCTCTAAAAAACATAAAATACCGAACACTTTTGTCTCCTTCATGTAATTTTTCCAGGAGAAAATAATTCTAAGGATTTTCACCTAGGAGGCAAAGCCATGCTGTGCCAGCAAGTTTTCAGTACAACCATGTCATGTGTAAGTTTCTGGGAAGATAAAGTCTTATTTTTGTTTGAAAAATGGCAAATTTAATCTCAGGAACCTGTTTATGAAGACCGCCAATGAGAGGATTTAATTCCACCCAAACACTTCAACATTGGTTTATGACCATAACCACAGCTGCTGTCAGCAACAGGAACAGCAGCTGACCTGGAAAACCTCAGGCCATATTTCCTTCTTTATCAGCAGCAAAGGTGACAGGGACACTGAGCTTGGAACAGTGTTGATGTGTCACAGAGTGTTGGCCCAGTGTGACCTAAACCCAGATGAATCCCCAAATCAGCCATGGAGGCCTTCAGCATCTTTCCACCATACAGTGCTTCAACCAGCACTAGCACACTGCAGTGCAGCTGCTGGCAGGGGAATCCCAAATCCTGTTCCCTCAGAACCTCTCCTCTGTCATTTGGAGCTTGCATTCTGCACCAGTAAAGCTTTTGCACACAGAAAATAATGTTGAACTGTGCATCATGGTGCTGAGAATTGTGTCCTGGTCTCCCCCTGAGCTGGCAGCCCTGCCTTAAAGCACACATAGACCATGGAAAGACTTTGTTACCACCCAGAATCAGTACACCTTTCTCATCTCACCAGTTTCTTGCGGCAAGACTCAGTTACTACTGACTGACACTGCAGCATCTGAACCATGAGCTGAGGCCCGGTGACTGGAACAGAAGCTCCCACTGCTCCAGTGACAACATCACAGCTTTCCAGACTGGATTTTTACCAACTGAAATCACTACTATTATCTCCTAGAATCCCTCCTAATTTACTCTTCTCCTTCTGACACAGACATTGAGCTGAATTCACCCTGCTAGCAAAAAACTAAAGACTCTGACTTCTTACGTGAATATTACTGAATGTTCAGCTCCTCCTTCTGTATTTTGTCCAACCCCTCCTCCCCCAAGAGAGTAATTTCCAACAGCAACTTTTTGTGGTTTCATTGTGGGGGTTTTGACTACAAATGGCTTTATAGGTTGGGAACCCTTGGATTTGTCTGCATGTTATGATAAAACACAATGGAACCGTTCACAAAACAAAAGTCTTTACATAACAGAACGTGCAATAAAAGCGCAAGAAAGAAAAGGAAGAGAGAAAGAGAGAGAGAGGTATCCAGAGGAGAACTTACCCCGCGCTTTAGGCTCCTGAAGCAGTGGATTTTGGGTTTGGAGGTCATGAACTCGTTGAAGCGATGGGAGAGGGGTTCCTTTTGCTGCTTGGGAGACTGGGGGCCGTTTGGAACAGCAGAGGGTGAGGCAGAGGCAGGGGGAGGAGGAGGGGGCTGATGGGGGGATGTTAAAAGGGACATAAGCTACGTATAAGAGATGGAGAAGTGACAGAATAAAAACCAAAATAAAAAGATAAAACACAAAACGAAAATAAGCATCAAAACCAATATTTGAAATCCAGAGAAAAAAACAATTAAATAATTAAATATTAAAGGCCATGGTTCAAAAGAGGGGAGAAAGCAGTAGTTAAAAGAGTCGTGTTAAATGAAGATTTGTGATAAATGAAAGTATTAGTAAGTGATGCAACAGAAGAGTAACACAAAAGTATTTTGAAGGAAGCTCATGCAGACTCTTCCATGCAGCACTATCCCCATATTTTGCCCTGTTCTGCTCTGTGGACAGCTCGGAACAATGCATATGGATAGAGCTTTCAAATACCTGAATTTAAATGGATCAGATAAGGAAGGTACCTTAGTGCCCAGTAGCGTTTCTATTATCTGGAAAACAACAAACCACATTCCTTCCTGCTTCCAAATCATACCTCAGCAATGTGCATCACACTTCACTTGTACAGATCATTCTATGAATTTGCTCAGGAATTAGTCCTGGTTGTGTTTTTATTCTGGCTACACTGATGTAAGCACCAGACAGCGAGTCCTCTCTCACACCAGCACTACAGGAATGATCCCTTGTGAACAGGGGGATTTTTAGAACTTGAATTTAAGAGGTTTGGGAAAGGGTCAGAGCAAGAGTGAGGTCAAAAAACCAAAGCTATTCTGGGCTTCCATCAGTGTTACTGAAACCTGATTGAGTCCAGTCCCCCTGACATGTCCTGGTAACCCCAGATAAATGCTGCCATGCATTATGGTGTAAAGTATGACAGTGGAATGAAAAAGGTTTAATGGGTACATAAGTTAATATGGCCCTTTAAACAGTCAACTGCTCAGTTAGTTACGCTCCATTAGTGGTGCTTCAGAGTGATCCCAGCAATTCCCTGCTCCCAGCCACCCACCTGCTGACCCCAGTGCACAGACTGGAAAGACAACGCAAATGGAAAGCCAAGGAGAGTTTGAGGAGTGTCAAAACAGTAATGCCACATTGAAGCTTCCCACAGGTAACAATGTTAGTTTGACACACATGGTACTAGGTAAGTGGTTAACAACTCCTTCTCTGAGTTAGGAACAGAAATGGACCATGGCAGAGACGTGACAACTTAAGTTAAATTAATTTAAAAACTGCAACATAATTAATAAAATTATACAAGAAAATATAAATTAAAGTTATAAAGAAACTTAAGTAACCAAAGACTACAACAAAGCACCATATTAAGACATAAATTATTAACTTTCTGAATCTAAAATTCTCTTTTAAAAAAACTAAACTTGCCAAGATTACTAGACAAGACACAGGTTATTGACAAATCACATACTAGCACCAAGCTCAAGTTTGCAAATCAGTACCTTATTTTTCTTGATGAATGGCCATAACTTGCCCTTGGATTTGCTACCGAACTTGGGCTCTGACTTCCCATCCCCTCTGGAGTTGGAAAGGCTGGATTCAGACACTGTCCTCTTCATGGGCTGTGTGAAATCCTCAAAGTCGACGTCTCCCGGAGGCTCGAACCCTGATTTAAAGGCTTCTATTACCATCTGGGAATCCTGCAATAGGACAGACCCAACACAAGTGTAAACATCTCAGGTGAGGCTTGACATCAAATTGGTAGCACATTAAGGCATAACAAGAAAGTTTGTCAATGTGGGACCAACCCTGAGAGTGACCAGGCTCATTCCTGGGAAGGAACACCCTTCCAGAGCCCAGGGTCAATACAAAACTCTCCACCTTCTGCTGAAAAGGGGCAAGAGCTCATTAACTTTACTGAATGGAAAAGCAAATCACACTTCAGTAAGTGACTCATAACAAAGATTTAAGGTACAGATTTGCTGGGAATACAGCTGTTAACAAATCAGAGGAAAATCCCAATAAATACTCTTATAAGAGAGAGCCCTTGTGTGATCACTGCCACCAGTCAACAAGTTGGTTGTGAATTTAGTGACAGTAAATGGCTGTAAATGTTTCATGACCTTTACCCAACATCTGAGCAGTCCAAGGTCACATCAGCAGCCCCATGCCCTGGTGTGGGAGCCACTGAAGCCACATTCCCTTTTGGCACTGCTAAGAGGGATCTCAGTCAACCACAGACTGGCTGTAGACTGTGTACAATGGCTTTGCTTTTTTGTTTTGGACAGGAAAAAGAAAAAAAAAACCAAAAACAAATCAAAGCCAAACCAATCCATAGCATTTTTCCTACTCAAGACTACAAACAAAATTAATTATACATAAGATCAAATTCAGACCTCAGCTTGCCAAATGCATTTAAATCTAATGGACTCAGGAAAAACAGATCCTAATAGACTTCTTATCTACTTGTTTTCTTGGGAAGAGATTATGTTATACTCTAACAGCTGTATTCCAAGATCACTAGAGACACTGTGCCTTGGCACACAAATATCTTGTTATTCTCCAGTGAAAAGTATCACTGCTCTGTTACATAAAAAGAACTTGTTGCTTTGAGGGTATTTCACAGTTTCTGTGAATGGCTATAGGTAAAATGCTGTTCAGGAGAAATCTGCTGGGGTATAAATATATCCAAAGGCCAGGCTCCATTGAGCAAAGCACAGATACAGGAAAAGCTTTGCAAAAGTCTTCATGGGATTGTGAAGATCCACATGGGTTTAAGATCCTCAATCTATCAGGTGGCACCATGAAATTCCTACCTGAGTTTTAGGGAAGTAGAACAATACTTTTCCTTAATGACAGACATGAAAGCAAGATGAAGAAGGATTAGAGAAGAGTGGAAAAGAGTGGGAAAACCTGAGAGAATTGGGATTGTTCAGCCTGGAAAATAGAAGGTTTTGGGATGATTCAACTGCTGCCTTCCAGTACCTAAGGGGAGCCTAAGATGGAACTATTTACAAGAGCCTGGAGTCTGGATGTCCCATCCTTGGAAGTGTTCCAGGCCAGGCTGGAGAGGGCTTGAAGCAGCCTGGGCTAGTGGAATGTATCCCTATCCATGGCAGAGGGTGGAACTGAAAGGCCCCTTCCCACACAAACCATTCTCTAAGAGATGACACTGTTACATTAAATACTCCACTGGTATTTTATCCTATGCATGGAGCTTTTCACTTTTTCCTCTATGAATTTTACAGTGTTCCTTCCATTTATTCAAAACATCATTCCACTACAATGGAACTAAAAATAACCAGCATGCCCCATATATCACAGAGATAATGTCATAACAGGAACTCCAAGCCCATAACAAATTGGTTTTATCTGCTGCTGGAGCCCTCTGAATCAGGTTCTGCACAGGTTCACCTGGCAGTCACCACAACTCACACTTGCCACATGACCTTTGTGTTGGTCAAGTGGTTAGAAAGGGGAAATGGAAAAAAACCCCATATTTAAAACTGCTTTAGAAACACAGTAAAAGTGAACCAGTATTCCCTGCTAAGTCCAGGCAGTTTGTATTGGCATTAACAGGAATTCTGTGCAGTGCAGTGCGGGCATAAAGCAATCCTATTTACACAGTTGCACGTTTAGTAACTAATCCAGCACTTTCATTATAATCAACATAGTTAGAAATTACTGCTCCAGAGATGAAACAATCCTTTATGATATTTAAGGAAAAAAAACTCTTTATAAACGTAACTGTTTCCAGATAGAACACACTAAACCCTTTGTAGCTGCTCAGATCTAACTATTTTGGCTAAATACATTTTTGTCAGCACAGTGCTTACAGGAGATCCTGGTAAATTCAGCTATCAGTGCTCAAAGTCATTGTTTTCCAATGTCACACTTGTGTATGAGCCATCATGGACTTATTTGTGAGGAAGAGAATATAAAATTCACTCTGATTCAAACAGCCAGCTTAAGTTTCATGTGTGTTTTGCTCAGAAGACTCTGGCAGAGTGTAGGCTGAGATATGAATCTCTCCACCATGATTTCACCATGCAGCACCAAAGGCTGTACCTCAAGCAGGGTATGTTGCTCTAACACAGGAATCACTGCCTCAATTCCCCCTTTTCCCTCTCAGAGAGTGGTTTTCAGATTCCTGAGTTTCCTATGCTGCTCTCTGTGAGAGCAATTGCTGAACAGAGAGTAGAGGATTAATTTCAAAATTTCAGCCTTGGGCTTATGCTGCCAGTTCATGGCTCTGGGCACAGAACAGCTCAGAAAAGATTCCAGTGAAGAGCACATATGGGAAATTTAAACAGTCAGCAAGACACAGGCTGTCAGTGTTTGAAGCAATAATGTAATCCATGAGAAAGGCTGGTAGAACAGAGCCTTCAGGTAGGAAGGGAGCAGATCATTCTGCAAACAAAACAGAAAACACATTTGCCCTTGTGGTCACTGCACATCAGGAAGCTCAACCAAAATCTTTACCAGCCTTTTAATCAGAGAGATTTCTTTGCATCCTGTGAAGAAAAAAATGATGTTCAGAAATCAAATTTTCTCATTTACAGATTGCCAGCAAACCTCAAGCCTGCAAAGAAATATTTTACAGAAAGATTTTTCAGAAGTTCATGTAGCCAATACTTTAAAGATTTTCGTTATTATAAAGCTAACTGGAATTAAGACACTTCTGAAACATTTAGTTTTCTGACTATGAGACATAGAAACCACCTTTAAAATAATTGGTGATTAAGTATTTGAACTTACGTCCAACATCACATGCTGATGTCTACTTTTAAATTACAATATTTCAAAAAGGAATTATCCTAATGAAACAAGACAATATTCCTTAATCAAAAACCCCCCAAAATTAAAAAGTATTGCAGGAAAGGCATTTCTGAGTGTTAATAGATTTGGGAAATAATCTGAGCACATCCTGTCTCAGACAAAGCAGCTTGGGACAAGAAGCTGTTCTTTGGTTTCGTTCCATGACTGCAAAGCTCTTCTGCTAAGCCTGGACCCAGGATTTCAGCCTCCATAAATTTGAGACCAATACTAAATATGACAACCAACAATGCAACACTTACATTCTTGTGATCCACTGATTCTGCAGCTTTTGTTATTTCATCCAGGCACTTCCCAATGATAGGGATCACTTGGCGGTCGACTTCTGCGAAGGTTTTCATGGATTCACCTATCCTCACGATTCTTCTTTCCTCCATGTCTTGTATTTTCTAAAATATTACATTTCATTCAGGTCAAACATCAAGATTAACTTCACAGTTTCACCCAATTTTCCTCTCCAGCTTACATCAACTACTTTAAAACTTAGGGATTAAATGTATTTTTAAGAACAAACTAGGACAGCTGTTCTTAGGAAGGCACTAAGTGTTGCTGCTCCCTCAAACATCAAAAGGTCATTCTAAAAGTAATCTCTTTTACTATTACTGGAAATTTTTCAATTAACTTTTTATGTTAAAAAATGCTGATTTGTCAAACCCTAGCTTTAGACTTTTGTAAGGATGGTTCCTAAGGCTTTTAAAAGAATTTCTGCAACAAATTCCTTCATTTTCTGTGCTTGTTCAGAACAATCTTATTTTAATTCCACTGTAGAATGTAAGGAAACAAAGATCGTGATGTCTCCCCTTCTTTTCCCTAGAAGGTAATTTTTGGTGTTTAGGGAGTCCTGTACATCATGTTTTGTTCACAATGCATCATGTATTGATGTATTCATATACAGAACAAACATCACATGCTGTTCACACCACAGCTCCTCATTGCTCAGTGGATTCTGTTCCAGGATCTCCAGCACCTCTTCCAGGGGCCTCTCCTTTACCACAGAGGGAAACTGAATGTGACATAATTCTACTATGACAAACTATAGCTGGATACAAAAGCAGCCTGTTTCACACAGGACTCCAGGAGCAGTCAACTTAAAAATCCCCTTTGCCTTGGCTGATCCACAAGCAACATCAATTCTTTACAAAACAACTTATTTCAACATCTAAAAGAAAACCCTGGAGAGTTCACTGGTGCACTGAGGGAAGAGGGCACATCTGAAGGACTTTAACATGCTCATCTACATCAGAGTGCTCAGCAGCTCCAGTATTTGCTTGATTCCAGTTTATCTCAAGGCATTGGTTTGAAATACCATGAGGCAAAAGAGGAGGTGTCCATTTAGCTCACAAGTTTTAGTAGTGGGTAAGAAAGCGCATGTTTGCCACGCAAATATCAGCTACTTCTCATCTAATGACAAGCATGTGACATGTCCTTTGAAAATGTTGTATTTTCCACTTCTGATGCTCATGACCCATTACAATGGAACAGTCATTTAGAAGTTCTGTTCTACTACATTAACCTCAATTCATTCATTCAAGCACAAACTCAGATCTTCACTCAGAATGAATCTGATGGCTTTTTTTTATTCTTCCTCTGCAGGCTGTCCTTAGGCACCCTTAGACACAAGCTTGCTTAAAACCCTTTGGATTCACTGCTGTAGAACTACTGTGGTTCACATTTAAACATCTGTGCAGCCTAATTTGAACACAGGTTATAAAGGGCTGCTGGACTTTACAGATGCAACAATGCCCAGCTGCCTCCTGCCCCAGCAATGCCAGTGATGCTCCCTTTCATCCCCAGCTGCACAGACAGAGGAGCTGAACAGAGAAAGATTGTGAGGATTCCAAAGGCTGTCCTCATCTGGCACGACACTTCAACATCACCTTCCTTATGTATTATTGATCCCTTTATATCTAATTTAAGGAAAAGAGATAATTTATGCTACCACCTCTCAGAGTGGCAGATTGCATGTAAAATTTGCTAAGAATGACCAAAAAAATCATCAAAGATTAAAAGTCAGGGTGATAGAATTGAGGTGAAGTGCAATATGCTCTTGTCACAGGATTATGGGCTACTCCAAAGCACTGCCAGTGACCCTTACCTGGAAGATGTTTGGTATGTGTGTGTAGTAATGCTCATGCTGCTCACTGTTAAACTTCTGTAGGGTGGAAGAATATTCAGCTTTGCTGTCTTCTGCCATCTGATGTCTCAGCTGGGCTTGCTGTCTTGCCTGAGGAAATACCAGAAGAAATTTAGAATTTAGGCTACGTGGAGATCAACTGCATCTTACTATGCATTGGGATATGAGACTCTGAGCACCAGCTTTTGGTTTACTCCTCTTTTGTGAAACATCCATGCTGCAGTGTGGACAGTGCTGCTGCTCCTTCCCGGGATTACAATGTGCTATTTCCTGACCCATTTTGCATTCCATGAACAGCCTCTGTTTGAGCTACACTTCAAACACCAAACCAAGTTGGTCCCTCCACCTGCTCACTGGACAGGCACCTTCCCAGTACATTCATGGACACACTTCTTGTTCCCCCTATGCCCTGGCGGATGTCACCTGGTGCTTTCCTCTAATGAGGAATTAATAATTTCCCTGTTGGCAAGTAGTGTTTTCTGGGGAAGGGGAAATGAAAAAAACCCCAACATTTCTGTCTCATTTCAGCCAACATAACCATGACGAAACCTCTTAACTTTGTGTGCCCTGCAGAGCCCTTTCTCCACACTCCTCACACAGCCCTGGCATGAAGCACAAAAGGAAAGGGGAGCCAGAGCAGCAGCTGAGATGCCTCCCTTCCTATTTTTACCCACACAGATGATTTACTGCCCAACATAGCAGAGCACTGGGCAATTAATCTCACTTCTTCCCCTAGAATAATCTGTCCCCAAGTGACCCTTTCACGTTTTCAGATTCCTCCCTTTAGAGTTCTGTTCCCAAGGCCTTCTGTTATCTGTTTCACTGCCCAATATTCTTCCCTTGCTGCCTCTCCCCATCTGTTTGGTTTAGATGCCTTTTCCTTCCTTGCCATTGGCCTCCATACAGCAGCTCTCCCTTCTCTTCCTTTCCAACATCCCCTATGCCTTTCCCACACTGAAGCTCTCCCTCCCTGGCTGGAGCTCTGCTGCTGAATTTCAGAATAATTCCTTAAGACAAGACAGAGAAATGCTGCTTTGAAAAATCATGTTTCAGGGGACACAACACAGCAGAGAATTTCAGTATATTTTAAGTGTATATTTCCCATTAAAATCAGTTCAGAACAGGGTTATTCTTTGAACTGTTCCAAGCAGACAATAGTTTCCTGACAATAAATCCATGGAATATCAAATCATGGAACGTTTTTGTAATCATAACTGTAAGGTGACAAATTCTGCCAGGAGGTTTCAAATCTCAGTTTGTAAAGAAGTAGCCTTTCCCTGCATTTGCCATCTCACCTAATAATATTTATTTCACCTCAACTCAGATATTGCTTCTGCAGCCGATTGTAGGAATTTCACAGATCCCCTTCACATTCTTTCTACAGAAATAATTCAAGCAGAATGAGGAGATACTGGGCACTAAGTTCATCACAGGAGATGAAACAGTAGTGTCAAATGGAGAAGAATGTGACTATAACCAAATAAGTGAATCCAATAAAAGACATATTTTCAACTTTTCTTGTTCCCAGGGGTTTTAACTGTCCACTAACTCCTGCAAAGGATGAGTGCCTAATTTTAGAAAATTCACCTCCTGCAATCAAATTCCAAGAAGCCACATCAATAATTTCCCTGCCCAAGCACTAATAAAGTTTATTTAGCTTTACCATCCCCACACTCACATACAACTACATTAAATACAAGTGGAAAACAATATATCTTTGTGCCACAAAAAAAAATTTACCAGGAAAACAAAGTTGGCAATGGAAAGGCAGGCAGCAGTAAAAGTGGTTCACACTCATCTCCCAACCCCTTCCTCACATCCCAGCTGCTGCAAATCAATATCCATTTGTGAGGCCCATTCTTCTCATCTACCTAAGAGGAACCCATTGTCTGAGCTGACTTTACACCAGCCCTACTCCCACTCATATAGCTGTCTCACTCTTTCTTTTTTTAAAAATAATTTTAAATAATGCAGCTCAGGAATTTGTCCCTTGACTCTATTGTTGAAGCAGAAAAACAAGAAATCCATTATTACACATTTCCAGGCAGAACCAGCAAGCATTAAAGCCATCAGATTTCATTTTCATGAGCAAACTCATTGGCTGGATATGACAAAGTAACTCTGAGCTCAATGTATACACTCAGTTTCCAAAATGATCTTAACTGGCCCTAAATAAGAGGGGGCAGCAGATGAGTAAATAAAATTGGGTGCATTCCAAAATCAGAACTTTTTGTATGAGAGCCCTAGTGATGTCTTGTTTCTCTTGGCCATTTAATGCATTTGGCAAGCTTCAAACTGTTTAAATATCTTTGCAATGAGGTATTTGGATCTTAAAATAAAAATATTTTTTAAAATCTAGACTTCTTTATTACTTCATTTCAGTATGTCACTTCCTCTAACATCATCACTTCTAGTATTAACAGAATTGTGCCTTATAGTGAGATTCCTGCACTCTGTTGAAGCACAGAATGATAAAAACAAGACAATGATTTTAAATTTCACGTTCAGAGTAACGGATGCAGTAGCCCAGAACTGCAGAGAGTCATAGAAGTTATTTCAGGAATAATTTATAGCTGGGCTTTACAGAAAATGAAGTTCTGTTTCTCTGCTGCTCACTTGTGCAAGAAAACAGCTTCAGAGGTTTTTTGGGGGCTTCTTAGAGTTAATGCTAAAAGATTTGCCCTGAACAGTATTTCCAGAAGGAAAAGCTTTGGAATAATTGGGGTCTGGAAAACCAGACAATGACTTCAGATATAGGAGAACAACGCTGGGATGCAGCTTTCAGTCAACATATTCTCTCCTTTAATTGGGCAGGGATGAGTTAGCAAGAGCTCAGTTTCCAGCCCCATATGTGAAACACAATCCAGCTCTACAGGCTGACAGATTGCTCAGTTGTAAGAGGTGTCAGGGCCAGGGACTCTGAATGCAACAAAAAACTCCCCTCTTCAAAGGAAGAAAGATTGAGGTCACCTTTCAGCACTGTGGAAAAGCAAAAAGGGTATGTACACCTGAGGGGTCTGTGGGGAGAACAGCAGCATTTTGCTTCCAAATGCCTTCCACTGTACAAGGTGCACAGATTTCAAACATCTCCCACCCCAAACATACCTTTGTAACAGTTTTTTGCCCTGAAATAAACTTGCACACATAGGCAGTGCTTCCTCCCTGAAGCCTGGTTTTGTTAATGCAGCACTTGTCTGAACTCATGTGGCAGCACCAAAATCAAAAGGTCATAAATGTCAATGTTTGTCTTATCCAGAAAATGAACTCCCCAAAATGAGCAACAGCCCAGGACCTGCAGCACCTCCAGCCCTGCAGGGAGCAGACAGGTGAGCTTTGGGCTCCCACTGCCACTGCAATCTGAGCAGTCACACCAGGGGAGTGTCTCCACAGCTCTGGGAGAACACTCGAGGTAAAGGAGTGCAGCTCTCATAGCCTGAACCAGGCAATAGCTCACCAGCAGCATGTAAGGCTCATTATATGTGACCTCTCTCAGAATCTATGCAGAAGTGCCACTAAATAGAATCAAAACCCACCTTTTTCCCTTCCTTTATACAGCCTTGCTGCTCCATGGGCAAGAATGCAGGACAGTAGCTAACTGCAGAGAAGTATTAACTTGCAAACTGCTGATTTTTGTGGCTATCTTCAATACGTTAAAAATATTTTTTAAAAAAATCAGGCTTCAGCAGCACATCTACCTTAGGTGAAAAACAACACTAAATTCAGTGGCCATATGAGCTGGCAACACACACTGTGGCATCTCTCTCTTAAGGTAGTGGGAAAAACACACTGTTTTCTCAACAAGATTTTAACTACACTTCCTGCAGATTTTCTTCATACAACTGAGTTGCAAAAACCAGATTCTCAAATAACAAGTTAGTTTGGACAAATGACTCTACAAGGAGCTCAGAGATGCCAGGGTGGGACATGGATGTGCTAAAATCTGACTTAAGTATTTATGGGGATATTTCTTTCCCTTTTAAAATAAGAAATTAGAAAAAGTTAACCCTGAACCTTCATATCACCTGCTTGTTACCATCTGCAGTTTATCAATATGATGCAACTTCAGCAATCAGTGCAGAGCAGAATGAGATCAAAGAATTACAGACAAGGGAACTTATCCATAATCCTTGCAAACATTCAGCACAAGTAAAGCTTTATATATAGATCTGAATTAAATCAGTCAAATACTTTATGCCTTTGAACAGGAAAATTGAACAGAGAAAGGGAATATGGATACTTTATGATGGGCACTGTCAACCCTGAAAGTGGAAAAGCAACTTGTTGATGCTGAAGTGTAGGAGAAAATTTTAAAAACCAAGTACTTTTTCTGCCATTTTGGTCTCCAATGCAGAAAAGAATGAGGATATTTTGCTGAGAACAATTTTCTGAGACACATTCCAGAAACAGCAAAAGGGTCAATAGACACACTGTCTTCTGGGTTTACACAGACAAAAAATGCAGCTCCTCAGGGCTGTTATGGTGGGAGTGATATGAATAACTGAAAAGGCCAGAAAAAAACTTTGGCTGTTGTTCAGCTGGTCCACACTAAGTGGGACAGTTCAACTTCTCAGCAGTTGCTCTTGTCCAGAATGGCAAAGTTTCCAGTCAAAACTTTGGTGTCACTTTGTTTCTTCCTTCTCTTCTCCCATTCTGCACCCCCTCTTTTCTTTCAAACTGAGACAGCATGTGAGATGCATCACTGCCAGGCCACTGCCTGCCAAAACAGATCTGTTTTTGGCAAATCCAAGATCAGACTAAAATGCAAACACAAAAAAGTCACCCCTGCCCCCTCCCCTCAACTACCCAATCCCTCCAAAATAGCTTAATGATAAAGGCAGACTCAGAAACACTTCACCAATTTCAGGAATGCTTTCTATTGCTCACAGATTTTTCAGCTCTAGGCTCTGGCTCTCCCTCCACGGCTGCCCCACGACCACTGGGCACCGGGAGCCTCCGGGAGCAGCAGCAGTGGCAGCGTGTACAGGATCATTAATAACAGTGGGCATCCTGCCACAGACTTCAAAACAGGGCCAGGGTTCCAGGCTTGGATTTACACAGCCTCCAAATCAAGCTCCACTCTTTACTATTTT